CCCTATACCAAAATGCTAAATGGGTATACTAGGTCAGTGGATCTGTATGTAACACACAGAAGAATGTATGACAAATCCCATAGCATAGTCTAGCCAACGGCCCCCCTGCCGACGCCCTTGCGTGTAGACCCCCATAGTATATTTAACTCTGCACATTCTTCAAATCATTTATTATGTCTCAGCAGATAATAATCAAACAAATCCATTCCTTTCAAGACATCCAACAATATGGTAAATGCGATAGACAAATGGAGCAGCAAGAGAGTGTACAATGTCTTATGATTTATGTAATTGTAGAAGGTTTAATAACTTGCACGTAATCTAATCATCTTTATTTACTATTTAACATTAAGGCCTAGCTCCTAAAGCTACAAGTAGTAGTTTTTGTCCTTAACGTATGTTTCTAGGTAAATAAAGAAAGATAAATATATAAAATAAACATTTTTGTATTTATAAAACAAAAAAGAAAAACTGACTATGATGACTCCAAGGATGTGCCCCAGTGTTGCAACCCACCAATAAAATAATAATAATAATTATAGGCCCTGAGATTATTTATTTTCTCCACTTGTGTCCATTACTGTGTTTATCAAATGAAGTTTCCACCGTTGAAAATGTTTTTATATTTCTTACAGAACCGTAATAGATTTATAAACTTACTTTGTAAAGTAAACTTACGAGTTCATAAGGGGACATGTATATAAAACTTAATAAATTACATACGATGTACCATGAAACCATTTGATCTGATATTCTGCTGAAATATATACAGAAATACGAGTCGATGATGCTTGATAGTGTACCCAATAGTGCGCGGTGTTAATTTATATGAATGGTAAGCGATAATCTGCCGGGTTCGCAATACAATGTTTATAGAAATTGTGGATTGTTGCACAAACTCACCCGCAGGTTTTTTTTCGATACAGGAATTGTCAATACGGAAAATTGCATTAATTAAAAATTCTTCGGTTTAGTTTTTCGGATTCGGTTGTTCATTTGTTACTTTGATGGTAATTGGTTCAAAAAACTCTGCCGCCTGCGCCTTAAAGTGCAAAATGAAAACAATAACGCGCCACTCACGAGCACTGACACAAATACTTAAATCTTCGTCGCTTCGAACTTTAAAAGCCCTTAATGCTGGCTTACTGTTTAGCGTTTAGGCGGTAGTAATGACAATTTTGTCATCCGAGTAGGTTGGCTTTTTGAATACGGACTCTGGATTTTTGCTTTGTTGATACGTTTGTGTGATTTTGTGTAGGTTTTTCGAATTCGATTCAGTGTGGTTTGATTGGGTTCGTGATTTGCTGTTTGCGATTTGACGCAAGTGAAGCGCAAAGGACACACAACTTTACTGAGCGAAGCTGCACAAATAACTGAAATAAAATGCCAGAGAGCAAAGTCATGAGCAATGCCACCAGGCAGCAACAAACGCAATAGTCGGTGCACACAAGCGCCTCGGTGGCGATTTTATTCCCCTTTCTTCGCTTATTTTCGGCAGCGCTCACGAAAATTTCTTACACATTTTTATTGTGGAGGGCTAGGACCTCAGCGGGTGAGTGCGGTGTCGGTTCACACAAAATGCACTCGTGTGCGTTTTAATTGATTTTTTATGCACATTTTCTCTCATATTGCAGAACGAGACAACAGCACACGTGGCGGATGCGTAATATTTGCCGTGTATTTCGTTTTGAGCGCTTTCTCAGCACGCACTGCTTATTATTTGAGTGACTTTTCTCGGTTTTGAGCGCATTTCTGATAGTTGCGATCTGTTTCATTTCGCATGCAATGTTCTAGGTCAGTTTTTTCTGCTGTCTGCTGCTTGTTATTGTTGTCCCATATTTTAAGTTTTAATTAGACTTTTCCCCTAATTCTGGCATAGCAAAAGTTGCTGCCAAAACAAATTTTTAATTAATTACATGTAGAAATGCCAAAATTCAATGCGAAACATCTCGTTGGAAAGCTAGCGGGAGAGCGCGGCAGCAAGCAATTAGCGTTTAAATATGCTGAAGTGTAATGCAACTTTTAGGATATGTTCAGGAAAGTTATTGCTGCTGCTTGCTGCAGTGAAAGGCGCAGTTGAAGTTGGAGTTGGAGTAACTATGTTGGCAATAGAAGCAAAAGAGAGATGGCCCCTTAATAAATGTCATTTTGACGTACTCGCGTAAAACTGTTTGCCTAATAACTTTTTTAACCCGATTTTAATAGAATTCGATTTTTATTACACTTTATGATTATTTATTTTCTTAGTTACTAACAATATGTTTGCAAATCGCAACCTAATCACAGTCGATCTAGTCCTGTCTGTCTGTCCGTCAGTCCGTATGAACACCTGGATCACAGAGACTTTAAGAGCTAGAGATACAAAATTGTCCACAAAGATGCCTTATGTGTATACGTTGTGGAAGTTTGTTTATACTCCGATACTCACTCCACACTGATCGGATTTGCTAAAATTTTTGCATAAAAATTTTTTTTTTTAATTTTTGAAAAAGAGTTTGAATAGCGTAGTGAATACTTTTCCCTCCAGCCCTGGAAGTTTGCAACAGCCCTCAAAGTCAGCTGTTTTTTAATCAAGCATTCCTGTTTTGTTGTCGTTGTACTAAGTACTATTTTGGTGTCCAATAAGTATTGTTGAAACAGTTCAGTTATTAGATCCTTGCAATGGAAACATTCTTCGAATTTATAACTAAAATACCTCCAGTTAGTCTTTATGTGTCCGTATGCCAAGTTATAACAGGATAGGTGAATTTGTAAGGTAGTTATGGCCATAAATGTAATCTCTGCCTAATCGCTGCCTGTAGCTGTTGCTGTTGTTGCTGCTGCTTTGGGTCACCCCTATACTACACACATACTCACACACAGACATGTACAGACACAATTCGAATACCCAGGGGCACAATTGATTACAAAATTCTTGTTTTATCTTCAACTCATCTACTTGTATGTCATGATTCGTCATGATCGGACAATTCTAAAGCAAGTTATAGCCATAAACGCAGTGCTGCCCGTGCTCTACCAGAAGTTTTTGTTGCTGTTGCATGGGCACAACTCTGCATATAAAACAATTAAAAAAGCTAAAGTCGGGTGTCCCGACTTTGAAATACTCTGTACATATGTTTACAATAATTATAGAAAATAAAAAAAAATTAAGAAAATTAAAAAAAAAAATTTGATCGATTTTACCTTTCTCGGTATTCGAACTCACGTAAAGGGTGTATAATTGTACATTTACATAGCAATTGCGTCTGTGTGAGTGTATGTATGTCTATGCGCATCAATTCGTGCCTGTGTAAACATGTGTGCAGTCAACCAAAGCACCAGCATCAACAACAGTCGCGGGCAGCGCTTGAGCAGCGCTCGAGCAGCGCTGCAGCAGCAAATATATTTATGGCTATAACTTCTTGTTAAATCGGTCTATCATAGTGAAACTTGGTACACGGACACATAATAATCAACTGGGTATTTCCAAAAGTTTAGTTCGAAATTCCAAGAATTACGGGAGTTACGATTTGCGGTGGAGAGGGGGGAGGGAGGGAAATTCCAAAATATACATTTTCTGCGTATTCACATAAGGCATCTGGGACTAAAATTTGGTGTTCCTAGGTCTTATAGTCTCCGAGATATAGGCGATTATACGAATGGAAAATCGGGAAAACCCCCATAGGGGGGACGTGGGGGGAATCAAAAAAATAAAACAAACTCGTATAGAATACACACATAAGGCATCTTTGTGCAAAATTTGGTGTCATGCTGATTAAGAATACATATATTTATGTATATTCTTTATGGGGTCGGAGATGCTGCTTATCTCCTGAAACAACTTTGCACAAACCTATCCCCATTTCACTCTACGGGTACAGGGTACAAAAACTTCCTTATAGTTTAAACTTAAACTTACATACTCGTAATTCACTGTTCTATCAGCATGTTCGAAAAAGGTGAAATATAACGTAACAGTGTTTTACAATCAAACGCACATTAGAAAGGTGGCCAAAAACCAATAACAACTTTATATTTTTCTTTATGCATAACTTTTAAGCGAAAAGTAATATATTTTTTACGTGTGTGCAAATATGTATGTGTGTATGTATATAACTCATACACCTCCCTTCTGAAGGCATGTGATGGCCTTCGCAAACGCAACAGTCCGACAATTGATTTAATTTCATTATTCAGCCATAACTCAAATTGTTGATCCGAAACAGTAAGAGGCAAATGTCCTTCACAATGAACTCCAGCGAAAACTGAGTTGGATACATGGTCAGTTAAATTGTTCATACCAAAAAAAAAAAAGAATAGAGAACGTCATTAATTGCCATCCACTGACCTCATTTGAAGGGCGTTGATGAGCAATGACCACTGCCGCCGACGGGCTAGGAAGCGAACTTCAATTAGTGACATTATCTAAACTGGTGGCTGACAAATGCCTAACCAAGCGCCACATTCTTTTTTAAATGTCGTGTCATCAAATTTTAAGGTTAATGACAGTGTTTATCAGCAAAGCTATCCATGGTAAACCCCTGCTGGAGCGATTATCAAAAATTTAAGCACGTTAAAAATGCGTATAATCTAAACAAAACAGTTTGAGTCACATTTGTATGAAATTGAATAATTGGTGAATGTGGTATTCACCTCAGAGCTCAATGAAAACGAAAACATTAAACGTTTTATACTCATAGGTTCTTGTTTACAACTGCTTTTGTAATGATTGTATTTACAAGCACATTTAAATATTCTGTATACGCAACGTGGCTCACGCGTGAACGAGCAGTACAAAATGCAAACAAATGGGCAAGCAATTGATGAAAGGGGCGATTAAGCGCTATTAAAAAAACGTTTCAACCAACCGTCATGTCAAAAATGTATTATAACAACGTATAAAAACAGAAATAGTTCCGATTTTGCATTCAGTATTTGGTCAAATAGTGAATCGTGCTAACGCGTCAAAGGAATTAAAGAAAATTATGATGATAGAAAAGCAAATAACGTGTCGCCCCATCATGTGGCTGGCATTGTGGGCTTTGTTGCAGCAGGGCGAGGTACTCGCCCAATATTTCGGTTATCCAGGATATGGTACAGGTTACGGCACGGGATATGGTGGCGCCGGATACGGAAGCTCTGGATACGGAGGCCTTTACGGAAACAGCATTTATGGATACCCTAGTATGGGATATCCTTATTATTCATATCCCAGCTATAACTACAACTATAATCCATACACATTTTACGGAGGCTATGGCCAAAGCTATCCCGGGTTCGGTTACCCCTACGGCAACGGAATGAGTAAGTATGCGACTGATACGGACAGACAATTATTAAAGTGGTGCGTACATTGTACAAGTGTTCTGGACATGTTTTCTTTTATAGATACCGCATACGCAAGCAGCAGTGGTGGATTTGCCAGCGCAAGTGCGGGAAGTGGTGGAGGGTTTTACGGCTAGCCCTGTAAAGGATAGGACTACGAATATATAATAAGCATAATTACTCGCCTACCAGTTAGTTACTAAGTACTTAAGTTGTCTGTGTAAATAGGATGTATGTATGTATGTATGTATAAACTAAATAAAATTCGTTTACCAACATTTCTAGTCGTAATTGAAATAAAAAGGCAATGAAATGATTTAACCATAATGTTTGTTACTTTATAACATATTTTAAAGCTTTTAAATAAATATAAAAGAATAACAACCTATTTTAATAACTTAAATAAGATTGGCACCGATAACACTTTCTTTCGTCTAACAGTGCTGACTAGTGCCATCGAGCAGTGTTGCCGCGCTTCGAAAAATATCGATAATCTGGATATAAAATATCGAATACATCAGTTGCTTTTCAGATTTGCCCAGTACCCTTGTAATTTGCCAGCACGTAGTCTCGCACAGGCCAAACAAAAGCGCAGGCATAGACGCAGTCGTTGATTCACGGTTTTAAAAGTAAGCCTATATGTAATACTAATTATAAAAAGTATTAAAACAATCAAATCGCTTTCATTAAAGTTAAATAGAAAGTGAAGTATTTTTAAATTTAATGAAAACAAAAGATCTAATGGCAATAGCAAACACAATATTGCATAACAAGGCCAACAAAACAAACCGACTTGCATCTTGTCCGTTGGTTTAGGCGTATGTGTGTGAGCTTGTGCATCCTAGTAATGCTTATTAAGCATGTAAAATCATCCATACATATAAACATACGTATACGTATGAGCATGTCATTTATAAAATCTATAATTTGCTGTCGTAAAAAATACAAATTTACTAAAATTGTTAACGAGTATGTGTGCATATACTAAACATAATTATACATACATATGTACATATGTATATTTGTCGAGTTCCAATTGCTAGTTGGTTATGTTCGTGTACATAAGAATTAAACAACTAATAGCATTAAAAAACAAAGAACATACAGACATGTATGTACATAAGCAAGCACATACAGAATTTCAAGTTAATAAGTGCTTGCTCCGCGGTTTTATGTCCAAAATGCCAATTCGCTCTCTCGCTCTCTTTTCAACTGTCACCTGCGCCAATAACAACACCGCTGGGGTGCTTTGTCGTCGCCCGGCCCGTGCTCTCCTCACTAAATTAAATTGCATAAATCGAGGCAGCGGCAGTATCGTCTAACAAACTATGTACAACAAACGTCAAACGGTAACGAAGTGCGTGTCGGCGAGTTAGTTCTCTCTCTCCCCCTTCCGTTCCTTACTTTTTGAGTATAGAATTTTCCATTGGCACAACAGCTGATGTGCTTCAAAATCGACGTGTGCGGATTTTGTTTTGCAAAAAAAACCATTTCTTTTAATAACTTGGTGGTCTTACAATTTTACCTGACAGCCTCCATTTCAGACATATATACTACATATGAAGGTACATGCATACATACATATGTATGTATGTACATATGTATGTACATTCGTACCATTATTTGTTTGTCACGAGACAATCACAATTTGTGCGTAGTCGGTAATTGCTGAGTAATCAAATGCTGCAAACAAAGAATATAAACCTGCAAACAAATAAATCATTTTACCAGGCCAACCATAGTTGTCTAATCTTATCTGCGCAATTGGTGGGTGTGTCACGTTTGATACTTTTACCTTATCAGACAAGGCAGGCGGCTATAGCTTGGACTTTTTACGTCACTAGAACGATAAGGGCAGACCCGAAAGCAAAAAAAAAAAACTGAATGTGCTGTCAAGGCTGCTGATAATAAAAATTTACTATACTATACTACTATAATTACTAATGACGTTTGTTTCTTTTCCGATTGCAGTTCAGTGCTAAGAACAACATTGTTCCCGATAATTCCACAAGTTATATAACAATCCACTGAGGCACACAACATGTTGCAACTGCTACGTAATTCAACCGGCAGCACAGTGCCGCAAAGCGTGCTGAAACAGTAAGTTATGGAAAAATAAACTCATACATATCTAAGATCCATGTAATAAACTTCTTGCTCCAACAGTTATGCACGCAGCTTGGGCTCTGTGGTGCCCGAAACCAAGCTTCAAGACTTCAATGTGGTTAATGAGCCCATACTAGACTACCGCAAAAATTCACCAGAGCGGAAGGCTCTAGTCCAAGCTTTGGAACACACAGCAGCCAACTGCGAAGAGGTCCCCATTGTCATTGGTGGCAAGGAATTTAAGACGTCAAAAGTGGTGCATCAGGTCATGCCGCACAATCATGCGCACAAGCTGGCCAAGTTCTACTATGCGGACAAAAAGCTTTTGCAGGAGGCAATTAAGACGGCGGTAAATACGCAGCCCAAATGGGACAGGGTTCCCCTGTCTGAACGTTTGAAAATTTGGGAACGTGCTGCCGACCTGATGGCGGGCAAGTACCGTCAAGAATTAAATGCGGCTACTATGCTGGGACAGTCCAAGACGGCCATACAGGCAGAAATCGATTCAGCCGCAGAATTGATTGATTTTATACGGTAAATAATTTAATTTATATATAATGACATATATTGGGGTTAAGTTTGTCATAAGTACCGAAACTAAACCTAAACTCGACGCATTTTCACCCATTTTGTTTTTTTTTTTTTTGAACCGCAGTCTGAACGCCTACTTTCTTAAGGAGTGCGCCAAGTATCAGCCCATTAGTGAAAACATAAAGGTCACGAAGAACTCAATGCGATATCGTGGCATCGATGGCTTCATAGCCGCCGTCAGCCCTTTTAATTTTACGGCCATAGGAGGAAATTTGGCCTACACACCAGCTCTAATGGTGCGTCCTGTGCATAATGACTGCCTCTCTTTGACTATCTTACATTTTATTGACATTGCAGGGCAATGCTGTCCTATGGAAGCCATCTGATACTGCATTGCTTTCGAACTGGCGCATTTTTAACATTATGCGAGAAGCAGGTGTGCCCGATGGAGTCGTAAACTTCGTACCCGCCGATGGACCCGTATTCGGTGATACCATTACCGAATCGCCTCACTTGGCTGGAATAAATTTCACTGGCTCCGTTCCGTAAGTGCACTACAAATATTTATTTATGAGTATTAATTATTAGCTCCCTATCCCTAATTCAGCACATTTAATCGCTTGTGGAAACAAGTGGGCAATAACATAGACAATTATGTCAACTTTCCCCGCCTAATTGGTGAGTGCGGTGGCAAAAATTTCCACTTTATCCACAAGTCAGCGGATGTGGAATCGGTGGTGACCGCCACTATTCGTTCGGCCTTTGAGTATTGTGGCCAGAAGTGCTCGGCCTGCTCGCGTATGTTTGTTCCCGAATCGCTGTGGCCAGATGTAAGTGTTAACACTTTAGCAGGTGCAGTCAGGAAAAACGTATATTGCGTTAAAATATGTTTTTGAAAGGATTATAAAATCTTATATTTTTGTATTGAGATTCTGGGTCTGTCTGAGCACACAGATCTTAAAACTTAGTTTGAAACACACACAGAAACCCTTTTTAAAACATGTTTTGTTTTAGTTTGCATATTCACAAAAAAGTTTGTAGAAAGATGCTCGTCTCTCATGCCCTCTTCCCTTTTATTAAAGATCAAGTCCGGCTTGCTGAGGGAGGCAGAGAAACTAAACATTGGCGATGTGCAAGACTTTAGCAGCTTCACATCGGCCGTCATCGATGACAAAGCATTTAAACGCATTACCAGCTACATAGAACATGCTAAGAAAAGCCCAAACCTAGAAATCATTGCCGGTGGCACCTATTCTGACAGCAAAGGTTACTTTATCAATCCAACCATTGTGCAATCCAAAGATCCCAAAGATCGCATCATGACAGAGGAAATCTTCGGTCCATTGTTGTCAGTCTATGTTTATAAAGAATCGGATCTGGAGCAAACCATGAATCTGGTCCACACCTCGACAAAGTTTGCGCTGACAGGTGCAGTTTTTGGACAGGATGAGTAAGTGAATAAGAAATGAAATTTCCCTTAAAATGGATTCTGTATATTATTGCTCCTTTGCAGAAACTTTATCAATCGCGCTTTAGAAGAGTTCAAAATGGCTGCCGGCAACTTCTATATCAATGACAAATCGACTGGCTCGGTAGTGGGACAACAGCCCTTTGGAGGTGGACGCATGTCCGGCACCAACGACAAGGCGGGCGGACCACACTATATTTTACGATGGACCTCACCGCAGGCGATCAAGGAGACCTTTGTGCCATTGCGCGATATCAATTATCCGTATATGAGCGAGTAAGGAAAACGAAAAAGCTAAATGGAATCTCATAAATTACTATCTCTATATAAATACCTATACCTATATAAAAACAATATGTATGTATATGTATTTTGTTAAATTATTTTTACCTACATACACAATAACACAAATGCCCACTCACGTAAAACTTTACATAGTTGAATGTTGTATTTAAAAAATTTACGCTGTATTTCTGCAAATTATAGTAATTGATATGCTGATTACATTTATGTACCATATAATGAAATATGTATGCATATGTATGAAACTCGATCTATATAATGATATATACATCAAGATTTGAACGTATTGTGATTATTTATACAATTATTTGATTTGTATTTTGTTACCCGTTTTGTTTGTTTTTAGTTTGGTTTTAAATACCAGCACTATATAAAGATGCTATTTGTAAAAGCAAACAGTTGACAATACATTTGAATACTATTTGTGAGCGGAAAGGTAGAGAAGCAAAAATCACAAACATGGCTTATAAGTAAAAAGAACAAATAAAACCTGTCAAAATTATAACGAAAAACAAAAATATTATTTGTCTGTTGATACTGTTTCCAGAAGCATTTCCAGAGGCAATGTGTCTGATAGCACTAACTCGACACCTAATATTAATACTTACTTGTGTCTTCCAGCCAGTAAAAATATAACACAATCTTCTCCATTAAGATTGAACTACCTACTTTAGAAACGTGTCCCAGCAATTAGATTCTAACACCCGACACTCGTCTTCAAATTGCAAGTACTATGTTATTAAAAATAACTCTCCCTTCGGAATTTGCCAATCAATAAATGCTTTCGCTATCCAACCATACATCGGACATACACAAAATAATTAGAAAATCGATTCTTTATTCGTGGAAAGGTTCCATTTAAAAGGCCACGTTCGCTGCGCGTCGAACGACAAATAAACCGCCTAAGCACTCCCATCCCTTCCAAAGCTTCTAGCAATAATATGACTTTTATTTAGTTATCGACAAACAATACAAAGACAATAAAATGGATACTTACTTGTATAAAGCAAAAGGGAAAAAGCTATTAAAATTCCAATAACATATGTTATTAGACTTACCAAAAAACGAATTGTGTAAAAAGAGATATTTAGAGAATGGAAAACAAAATAAAATATATCCAAAACATTAAGCGAAAATTTAGTTATCAACATTAAATTAATTTAAAATGAATGGAAGCAAAATAAAAACACACCCCACAAATTAAATTCAAAACAAGAGAGAACGCTACAGTCGAGCAAGCCCGATAGTAAAATACCCTGTACTCTCCACAAAAAAATAAATTTAAAAAAATTTAATTAATTAAATCAAATAAAAAATATTGAATACATACATACAAAGTACAGTATCAACAGCATACATTTATATCTTCGTGTGTATGTATGCAGTACAGAAATAAGTCAAATCAGAAACAACAGCTGCAGGCAGAGCTGCGGACAGAGCGTCGGCAGAGTGAATGTTTATATCTATAACTTTCTTCATAATTAGCCTGTCATGATGAAACTTGGTATACTGACTCTACTTTCTCGGTCTTTTGAGAATCTGGATACCTATGCTATTCTAGCTTTTATCCTTGCGTTCATAAGGACATGGCTATATCGACTCGACTTGTCATCCTGACCAATAATATATGTATATATACTCTGTGGGGTCTGCCACGCCTCCTTCTGTCTGTTACATATGTACATTCGCACAAAACTACTACTATACCCCTTCACCCCTTGGATACAGGTTATAACAAGAACGGTATTAACTCTTTAAAAATCTCTACCCATTCCCACAAAAAGGACTCTAGCATTCCATGCTTGATTATTTTTTAAAGAATCAAAGTACATCCAAAAAGTATATATATTCTTGGTCAGCAGGTAATGAAAGTTCATCTAATACCGGAATTCTTAATATTTCAATCTCAAATCGTATTCTTTTAGAGCAGTTTTAGCCACTAGAAAATATTAAAGGAAGTTGTAGTCGGAAATGTAGTCTCTGCTCATGATACAAAAATATGAGGTACTTACGAGTGTGTCATTAAATGCCACAATTCTAGTCTCACTACAATAATCCCCGCGCAGTCTTAACAAGAGAGAACGCTACAATCGAGCAAGCCCGACAGTGTAATACCCTGTACCCAGGAAAACTTCCGTCACTGAGTTATATGCGCCCATAGCTGCAGCAAAAAGAGGAAGAAGAAGAACGAACTTGTTGCAGCAGTTTGGTGGGGTTGTACTGGGGAGAATTTGTTTTGCTAATAACTTTTCTTAAAATTGACCGAATTGAATAAAATTTTGAACAACAGTAGACAATTATATATTAATTATGTGTGCAAAGTTTGGTTTAGGTAGCATTTGAAATGTGGACGCTATTGACGAAATTCTGTAGCGGGGGAAGGGGGGGAAAATTAAAAAAAATAAAATAAACTCGTCCTTACTCGGACCTAGGAGAATCTGGATGCCAACTTTGGTTATTCTAGCTTTTATAGTTTCTGAGATCCTCGCGTTCATCCAGACGGACAGACGGACGGACATGTCTAGATCGATTTCTCTCGTCATGCTGATTCAGAATATATATACTTTATGGGGTCGGAGATGCTTCCTTCTGTATGTTACATACTTTGCACAAACCTAATATACCCTTTTTACCCTACGGGTACAGGGTATAAAAATGTCTCGTTTTAGACGAGGCTGCGGCAATCGTGCTGAGTTTCAGCGTCAAAATAATACATAGGTTTTGATAGAGATCCGGCTCTGATGGTGGGGAAGCTAGCTGGCCATTGGTTGCGGAAGAGGAGCTCTCCTATCAAAACAAGATTCACGCTTTAAGCCGGGTGAAATATAAACGTCGGACGATAGTTTTATCTCTGAAACAATCCCCATTTTGAGTGCATTTCGAAAACATTATTTTCGTTTCCAGTAGGTTTGCACAAAGCAAGCATAGAAAATAGTCTCTAATATCATATCTAATTGCGAAGTACATATGTATGTATGTATTTCTTAATAACTTTGAATTAAATTAAAGTTGCAAATTCATAAAATTTTTCATTTTAGAGTAAAAATACGCATATATTTTTAAATATAATCTGTTTTTTGTTTACATTCTCGTTACACTCTAATTTAATGTGTTGTTAATATTTAAAGTCATATCTGAAAAATCAATTTGAAGTAATGCTCATGATTTTAGAAACAAAAATTTCCGTAGTTTAAGTGTTTGTATGGTATTTTCGCACTTCTATGAAGCCTACGTCATCATAGAAAATTTTAGTTACTCAATTCAAGCAAAATATCCGGCCTTAAAAACTACAATTACCATACATATATGCAGTTACTTATGACTAAGAAGTTTACTGGTCGCTATTTGAATTTTCATTTAATTCTAACCAGCATGGGTGACCCGAAGATTGGTAAACCTTCCTAAATTTACCAAAAAATCTAGTCAAATTTGATAGAATTCACGCCTGTGTCAATTTGGCCGCCCCGGTAGCTACCGCGCTTCTTCTTGGTCTTCTCGTGCTTAAAAGATTTTCCGCGTGTAAATTTTAAGTCATAATTGGCGCGTTCGCCCCAGGAGCCAGCTGCGTTTTTCTATGATATATATATGTATATATTGGTATAGTTATGTAACAATGGGGCATACTGTGGTTTTGTGTGTGCTTGTAGGGGTGGTTGCTTAAACTAAACCTAATCATCAAAGCTAATTTTCTTATTCTGTGTGTTATTCGCCGAGTCAAATGACTTGTTGAACCTATTGCCGCCAAAACCACCGCCGCCACCGCGGCCACCACCGCCAAAGCTACCACCGCCACTGCGGCCACCACCGCCAAAGCCACCACCGCCACCGCGGCCACCACCGCCACCGCGGCCACCGCCATGACCACCACCACCACGGCCACCACCACCTCGTCCACCAAATCCACGGCCTCCTCCTTGTCCGAATCCACGGCCGCCTCCTCCTCCGCCTCCACGTTTGTTATCGAATCCTCCAAAGGACTTGCGATCGCCCATTTTCTGAAAACCGCCATTCTTGTCACCACCCTCGCCATTCAGTTTGTCGTTATCCCACTTGGTACGATCTGGACGTCCTCCGAAGCCTGAACCGCCGCGTCCGCGAGAGTTCTTGAAGCCACCATCCTAAAATGAATAAAGGGTAAACACAAATTAGCAAATGTATGAAAATATTGTATTAATAGAAAGAGTAGATAATTTTGGGCAGTCAATAAGTGCCGCAAATGGTTTAAGCATATGGCGCGTGTTGCTAATTTGTGCTTACCCTACATCCCCCCCTCCATCATATTTTACTCTGTTATCTAAAGCCTAATCCAATGATCCAACCTTCCCCCACACGCACACACCATTTGCGACACTTACCTTCGCTTCAAAAGACATGTCTTTTACGCGTTGATCCACAAGCACCTCCTCAGTGCGTACGCGACGAAAGGGCGACCGACGTCGTCCCTGGCCGCCGCTATTGTTTAGCTGCTGGCTCTGGTTTTTATTGTTATTGTTAGGTGTGGACGCAAAGACGTTGCGCTGGACAAATCCCTTAAGTTTACAGAAAAGTGGTTTCAAGATATACAATTTTGACTCACCTGCTGTTCACCCGACTTAACGAAGTTGTTATATTTTTGATGTTTAGGAGAGTCCTTAGCTTCAGTGTCGCCACCGCTGAATTTTCTCTTTTTCCCAAACGTTTGGGCACCATTGGCTTTGGGCTTAACTTCTCCCGACTCTTCTTCGCTGTCGTTGGATGCCTCTACCTTTTTAGCTGCGACTGGTTTTTTAGCTGGCGGCGAATCTTCATCTGAAGATGAGGAGTCTGAGCTTTCGGCCTTTTTAGTAGCTGGTTTGTTCGCCTTGTTTGCCGGCTTAGCTTTAGACTTAACGTCATCGTCCGAGTCAGAGGACTCATCCGATGACTCAGCTTTTTTTGCTAGAAGGCTACCTTTTTGTACTGCCGGTTTGACAGCGGGCACGCTTTCATCCTCACTGGAAGAGCTACTAGATGAAGCTTTCTTAGGAGTTACCGCCGCTTTTGGCTTTTTAGCTGCAGGTTTTTCTGACTCATCGGAATCAGATGATTCACTGCTTGAAGAGGCTGCCTTCTTAATAGGTGTAATTTTAGCAGGAGCTTTGTTTACAGCAGCTGGTTTTGACTCGTCGTCGGAATCGCTGTCTTCGCTACTGGATGAAGCCGCTTTTTTCGCGGGAGTTTTGGTAGGCGATTTTTGGGTGGATAATGGTGGCTTCCGTTCATCCTCATCTGAGGAGCTGTCTTCACTGCTGTCTTGTGCTGCTTTTTTAGCAACTACTGGTATTTTAGTTACCACAGTAGGCTTCTTTTGCTCTTCCTCTGAAGAGCTGTCTTCGCTGCTGGATGGAGTAGCTTTTTTCTTGGGAGTTTTAGCAACTACTGGTGGTTGCTTTTGCTCCTCTTCTGAGGAGCTGTCTTCGCTGCTGGATGAAGGTGCTTTTTTATTAGTTTTAGCAACTGGTATTTTAGCAACAACTGCGGGTTTCTTTTGCTCCTCCTCTGAAGAGCTGTCTTCGCTGCTGGAGGAGGCCGTTTTTTTTGCAGTGGGTTTAGCAACAACTGCAGGTTTCTTTTGCTCCTCCTCTGAGGAGCTGTCTTCGCTTCCGGAGGAGGCGGTTTTTTTTGCAGAGGGTTTAGCAACAACTGCAGGTTTCTTTTGTTCTTCCTCTGAGGAGCTGTCTTCACTGCTGGAGGAGGGGGTTTTCTTTGCAGACGGTTTAGCAACAACTGCACCTACTGTTTTTTTTGCAACTGAGGAAGACTTATTTTGCTCCTCTTCTGAGGAACTATCATCGCTGCTAGATGAAGCCTTTTTGATTGCTTTTCCGTTTGTCAATGGTGCTTGTGCCGGCGCCTTTTTGGGTGCATCATCCGTGTCCGAATCGGAATCACTGTCCTCACTTTCACTGTTAGTAGAATTTGTTTTTATGGCCGGTATTTTATTCTCACTTTTTTTTTGATAAAAAGCTAATATATCGTTCAACTTGGGTGTGTTCTTGCCAACAGATGCCTGTACATAAAATAATGTTTATGGTTAATGTAAACACGTGCTCAAACGAAACATGATAAAAGTATTTAGTTTTGCGCACAACTGTATCATTCGGAAGCGACGGACTAATTTTTAAAGTTTACGCACATATGTATGTATGTACATGTACATGCATTTGCTTGTATATATGTATGTACATAATCCTTTCGGGCGCAAACACACACCTTTGCGCATGAAATCAGTTGCAACAAATGAGAGTAAAGATGCAATACATACCGCCTTAGTTTTCTGCTCAAAAACCTTAGCCAGATTTTTGTCTTTCGATTTTAAGAAATCTAAAACAATTGCATCTGCTATTTTAGCTATTTCCGCCATAATTACACTCTGACTATACTGAAATTCGTGAACTACAAGATATTAATGCGGCCGCAGTCACGCCAAAATTCTTTCCACACACGTGTTGTAGGGTGAAGTTGCCATATGTAGGCATTTCAGTATATGTGCGTAATATTTTTGTTCCTGTTCACGGTGACAGCGAAACATTGTTTTGACGACACTTTTATAACACTGGATATAAAATTATTCGCTGTTGAAATGGCACAGAATGAAGCGTGAATAATCTACTATTAAATGTTATATAATAAGAAATTTGAAAACATACATACAAAATATTAGGACTAGCAATTATTAAAATATACAAATAGAACACATAACTAGAAAATTGAACTCTAGCGCTATACAAAATATTACATATTTGAAAATGTCATCCACTCATCTAAATATTTTGAAAGCAATGATAGTAGCGAAAATATGTTATCCCTTGATTTTTCATAGTTACGTTCCGACGATGCAATTAAGAAAAGCCATTAAATCAATTCTAAATAGTGCAATAAGAATCTGCTTAGATAGCAACACCTTCAAACAACTTAATTGGCGAGTCCAGTATTCCGCAAATTAAGAAAAAACCCATCCACATTCTTCTCTGGAAAAATAGTTAAGAAACTAACTACTCACGAATTTGCTTAATCTATTAAACACCGTGTAAGCCAATAAAAATATTATCAGCCACAAATCCGTTTTTACAGTTTAACTTAAATCCATCAGCAAACAACCTAAAAAAAAGCTTCCTACAACAAACCAATGTCTAACAAAAAAATTATAGTATAGTGTATAAAATAATGTATTATTATATTTTAAATAGGTAATCGTTTAAGCAATTCAATTATAGTTCAAATACTTTCACAAAAACTAATATGGTGGTAGCCAGGCTATAAACTTCATGTTATAATAAAATAAATAAATAAAACATACATCATTATTAAATTTGTTCATTATTATATTGTTTAATTTCAATAAATTATATATTTTTATATATATTTTTTTATATATTTATAAGGAGGTAGGCTTTTAATGAAACGTAAGTAGTTTTTGTATACATTTATGTATATACATATTAAACATAAATAATACCAAAATATAGAATGCCTTTTGTTTCATTTCCACTATTTCAAAATCGTTGTTAACTATGCGCTACCATTTTTACGGACATACCTATTTGTTACTCTTACTTTTATTGGACCGTAGAGGGGAATAACAATTGAACAGACAAAAAACATCGAAGGTAAAACAAATCGATAAACATCGAACTATCGATTGTTTTCCAGCTGTGTTGTATATACATATGTCCATTTAAATTGTGCAACCTGCAATTTTCATTTTTGGCTAACTAAATTCTTTTGATGAGCGACTCCAAGGAAGCACGAAACCCGGGTGAGGGCATACGCTCTCTCCGTAGCACAAGTGTTTTTAGGTTAATTAACTTCGAGCTATATACGAAGCCGGTGCGAGCAAAAGCAAACCACAAACTCATCCTTATATTAAATTGTATTCATTTCATCCACACAGAACAAAATCATAATGGGCTTGGGCTTGGCTGCATTCGCTGGTGTTTTCGGATACATAGCGTACATGCGCCAAAAATATGTAAGTCTTGGATATTATGCAGCTGTGCAAGAAAACGGACAGGAGGTGTTTACCAAGCAACAGTCAAAGTGGGAACAATAGGATTATTTTTCTGTTTTTGAAATTTATTTACTCGGTAGCACAATTTGGTACATAAATTTGTTGTTATTGTTGTTTCCAAAAATAATAATCACAATAGTAGAAAAATGTTTTTAACTATAAAAATCGCGCCGCCGCCGCTCGCGACGCATTCATAAAACAAGAACGACGGCGCACATTTGCGTAAAGCAGCACAATGTTTTTCTATGAAGTGTGTGTGGGGTGAGGCATTATATTGTTGCAGTATCTATTTGTGTGTGTGCCTATATCACAAACGGTATGACGCTTGATATACTCCAGCGACCTGCCTAGTTTTTTGTCCGTCTAGGCGGACAGCTTAAGTGCACGCAGTTCTTCTAGATATCTGCCTTCCATTTCGATCTTATGAAGTTGATTCAATTCAAGTGTCTCTCCCTGATTCTGACGCGCTTTTAGCTTTTTGATGTCCGAGAGCTTTTTGGCCACGCTACGTATTTTACGGTCCTTTTCGACGTTGCTACTACTATTTCCATGACCGTTGCCATTGATGTGCCTTGGTGTCCCAATTTGATCAGCGGGCGGCGTAGCAGCATGCTCGGCATTCTGTTTTTGCTGCTGGTGTTGTTGTTTAGACGGCGCCCGTTGCTTAGGCGTTTGCTTGCGTGGTGATTCATCGACTGGTGGAGCTGCAGCGCCATCGACCGCGGATAAGGCATCAGCGTCCCCTCCATTGATGGCAGGTTCGCGTCTATTTTGCACGGGGTTGCCCTTTGCTTTGTTGCTCTTCTTCTTGTTGTTGCCCGCACCTGAAGGCAGCAAAGAAATGGCACAGCAGTTAGCGTATACGTCGCATGGCCTACTTACTGCTGCATCTCTAATCCTACAATGCATATAAATTTGTGTACGTCGATGTGGTGGCGTGGATGCTTTGAAACTAGTAACGTCTGTGCTGGTAGGGTCGATAGCGTCGGTTTGGGCGGCTTGAGCTTACATTAGCTGTGGCCGACTTGCCGTTCGCCGACACAGCCACCTGACCCTGCACCACACTCACCACCTGCACCAACTGTCCCTGTTCGCTCTGACGGCGCATTATGGGATTGTCCAAGTCATATTGCCTATGCCAAAATTTGCGCGCATTACCTGCTGCTGGAAGTCCTGGTACCGTTGCCTGGGGTTGCGGCAAGTACTTCTCTGGGTTCTTGCCTTCCTTGAGCAGCCGTAGATGGGGTGGTGTGTAGGCCTTCTTGCTGGCCACTGGCTGGCTGGACTTGATGCCCTCCTGCTTTGCCTTGCTGACCTTTGGCTCGGCAAAAGTATTATCCGGACACTGCTGCCATTCTACGCCGAGCAATTCCTGTCCCTGGGGCCACATGGTCTCGTGCAGTAGCGCGCCGGAGTAATGGTATACCTTGAACCTGCAAGTAAAAAATGAAAAATATGTAATATTTAGTAAGGATAGATGAACTTGAGGATCACATTCATAAAAACATTAACTGGTATATTTTTATTTATACGACCATACAAATTAATCTCACTATCATCAAGAAACTATTGATATACTTTAAATCTTTCAATGTTATATCTGAGTTTAAACTTGATGCTATTATAGCAAAAATTTATCATATACACTTAACTATAATGGTAATCGCCCTACTTAGTTTGGTTTACACTAACCGTTTAAAATAAATCTTATACGACTATCAGTTATAATAACTGAATTTCGCCGGTTCCATGAATGCCAAAATTTTTTACTTTAACACTTAATACGTAATTTCAATGGATGTTTATGTACAGTTTAAAGCTTCCATTTATTTGTGTATTTATTTGTATGTGTGAAGTGCAAAATAAGGTCAAAGCAGCAACAGCAACAACAACAACAGCTGATCTGTCGATAGCTTTGGGGAACCAAAGTTTCTTTTTACTGAGATCCTTGCGCTTATAGGGACGGACGGACATTGCTATATCGACACGCCCAACTGGGATCTGCCGCGACATACATTCGCACTAACCTACAGGGCATAAAAATTGCACTACTTCTAAAATCGCTATAATATAGAAAACAATTATTTAAGACGTATGTATGTACGATTGAATTTAAATTATACTCTGTATTATTAAACAACTACAACACCCTAAAATGTATATACATATATTGTTGATCGTCTGTATGGATGGATGTTAGGATCTGGGAAAGTATAGAGGAAAAAATCATAAGCCTCGTTACCGGTCTTCTATACTCGCTGGTCCCTGTAACTCTTAAAATGTCGTTTTCATATTTTTAAATAAATTACTTAACAGCGTATTTTTCCATGTATATACATATGTACATAATTACTTTTATCTTAAAATCTCTACAATTTGTTTAAATTCGTACTTGTTATTGTCTAGTACTAATGCATTAAATGCACATGACTTTCAGGTGGTTTCGCAATCTAGCCTGTAGTGGCTAGGGAATAATGTAAGCTTCCGAATAATAATGCGTTCTATCGAAGCGAAATAAAAAAAAGCATACGAATTGAGATCTCAAAAATTCGGCATGCCGCTAAAAGTTGTTAAAGATTGCTTACCCATTACTGATGCGCAAGCGTGGTGCCGTGGTGGCCGTAACAAACCACTCGCCGTTCGGATGCCACTCAAAGAGGGTGGTGTCTGCGCACTTAAGATTTGTCAACTTTTCACGCTTTTGGACATCCCAGACCTCGACGGCGCCGGGCAAATTGCCAAAGCCTGCCAGAACAACAATGTTTCCGAAAGGATTAAAGTAGGCGCAATTGCGTGGACCTTCACCGAAATCAAAGACTACATCGCACTTTAGATTGTACAAGGCTGCCTTTGATGGCATATAGCCGTAAACGACAAGGAATTCGTTGGCGCGTGGGCTCCATTTGACACAATGCACAGGCCCCTCCTTTGACAATGGTACAGAACACGTATCGCCATTGGTAGCCATAAAATGAACTGCCTGGTTACCATAGTAGGAGGCACCGCTCTTGTCCACTTCGGTGCTAGTCAACAGCAACAGACCACTGCCACGCTTGTTCCAAAGCATCTCCACACGATCAGCTTGAAAGAAGCTTTTGCAGGCTACTGTCTGATTTTGGCTGAGCGCTGGATATTTGTACAGTTTGCACATGGATGGTGCGCCTTTAGCGCCGGGCGTGTAGAATGCCAGGTAGGGCGGACAGTTACCAGGACCAAGCGACAACATGCCACCACGGCTGCCACCGATTTTGCGTGATGTGGATGCAAAGCCAGCAGCAGCACCACCGTCCAGGTCGTAGAACAATGCCTCGCCACCTACTACCAATGCAAAGATCGATTCGTCCGATGACCAGGAAGGCTCCCAGTCCGTTTGGTTTTTTTGCACAATTGCAAATATTTCATTGCCCGTAGCCACTTCGTAAACAAGTAGATTTGGTGCACCTTCAGGCCGGTCTTTTGTGATGGCATAGTGTTCCCACGTGCACAGATAATTACCACGAGGTGAGAACTTGAGGTAGAACGCTTTGGGACGTGGCAGGGTGCACTGCAGCGGCCATAATGCTCCGGCACTGCCCGTGCGCAGGACTTTTACCTCGACTCCATTCGAATAAGCGAAGTAATGTCCGTCGGGACTAAAGGAAATCGAACGACAATTCTTAGTCTCCTCTCGTGGCAAATCGGGCTTGTGCTCGTATGGCTGCTTTGGGCCCGCTGACGACCACAGCTCAACTCCCACGCTAGAGCGAACTACAAAAAAGCAAGGAAAGAAAAAATTTGGTTTTTAATAAAATATTACAGATGAGGCGGCAGCCACACACGAGGTCGCGCAGTCGCTGCGCTGGCAGCTGCGGTGAACGACAGCGCTTGATGGCAAGTGCGTGCAGTGATTAAGCATCTTTGCCATCCCCCATCTGTTAACTTTTGGCAAGGCACGACGTCATCATATGAACACAACAATAATTTGATTAATCATTTGTAATTGGATTGATATTTTTTGCGTAAACATATATTTACTTGCAAGGGTAGGAACAACACCGTCCGCAGCCATTGTCTTCAATCTCACACACGGTGGTGTTGTTGTTGCAGCGCTGTGTTGGTTAACAGATGTATGTAAACACGGCTGTATTTTGGTATCGATAACGATAAGTTACATGCATTAGGCGCGCAAAAAACGAGCACGTTAAACACCAACCAAACTTAATTGAACTGCAACACAATTTTTGCTCTACGTAAATTTAAAAACATTTTCATACTAACAATTTAGTTAACGAATTTCATCAGGTTTTCAAAGGGCTCTATATAACAGTCAAGTCCGCTCAGCCATTTGTAAAAACATCGACAAATTCTTATTGTCAGGGGTATCTTAGAAATCCTTTTCAACCGAATTTCACTTTTAGTTGTCAAAGACATACATATGTATATTCCGTTGGGCTTTAGTCTTTTGCCTTCGCTTTTTTTTGCATGGGCGTATCTACATACATATGTATGTGTACAGTACAGGGATTACCCAGCAACAGCAACAACGAAAATAGCTGCGGGCAGAGCTTGAGCAGAGATAACATACATGTAAATACATATGTATGTATATGACAAGAACTTTGCTAAGAGTCGGCCTACCACAGTGAAACTGGAAAGGAGGACAAAGAGTACTAACCATATATGATTACCAAATTAAAAAGTCAAAGAAATATGGAAGATCACTAATGGGGGATTGGGGGTGCATAAAAAAACATGGCTATTATCAACTCGTCTCGTAATAAACGCACTAAACTAATATCTCTTTCGGTACAGGGCATAAATCAAATCGACTTCTTGAAGTTTTTTGGCTTTGATAATAAGTAAATAATGACCTCTTCAGGAGTTACCGCTGGGTTTGGTAATTTCATTCGATTTGTTCATATCTGTATCTGTAAAATCGGTTTTGCCAACGTAAGCCATGCTTCTACCAGTATGTCATGATTATAATGTCAGTTCAATTCAAACCTAGAATAATTCTATAGTACAACATACAGATGATTCGTCAGCAAAATACTGGGCGGATATACATACATAAGTATTGTATGAGTGGGGTGTTGATTAACAGTTTGTTAAACGGCGGGAACTATGTTTTATGATTTGTACTTTCACTACTTGTAGGTACCTTATTCTTGAACTTGTTGTTCAGTTATGCGTCGAGACTACCTTGTGTGACCAATGCATACGTTTTCTTTTTGCTTTTGGCAACTATTACGACAGTTAATTATAAGTACAAATAAACGCACATGTCCAACGAACAATGTGCATTGGAACTCGTTTAGTTACTTTCGCTGAACATGTGACTAAATAGCATTGAAGTAGCTGCGGCGCATATTAGGGATGAACTCGTGAGAATTGAGATATCTGTAGATACTAGATGATCAATATTATTGATATATGTATATTATTACCGATCGAGTCGATCCAGCCCTGTCTGTCCGTCTGTCCGTATGAACACCTGGAGCTCAGAGACTAAGAGCTAGAGACAGCAAATTTTCCACAAAGATGCCTTATGTGTGTACGCTATACGAGTTTGTTTTATTTTCTTGATATTCCCCCACCCCACTTCCCCCTGTGGGGGATTTCCCGATTTTCCGTTCGTATAATCGCCTATATCGGAGACTATAAGATCTAAGGACACCAAGTCTTAGTCCTAGATACCTTATGTGATTATACGTCCGTGTGCCGGTTCATTATGATCGGCCGATTTAACAGGAAGTTATAACCATATATGTCAGGTCCAGTCCTACCCGCAGCTGTTGTTGTTTTTACTGCTTTGCACAGGCACAGGAGACATACACAGACACACACAAACAAACACATTCACGCATACTTATTCTACACAAATAACAGAGTATTTCAAAGTCGGGACACCCGGCTTTAGTTTGTCTACTAAATTTTGTGTAAATAGTATATTACTGCATTTTTCAAAAGAATCTTCCTTACGGCAAATCGGAATATAAAATGCAATTGCTTTTATTTGCCAATATCTATGTGATAAAATAAATACGCAATACAATCCAAACGGATTGTTGCTTGAAACTTACACTTCTCGGTGATCGATTATCATTTTTACTTTCGGGCCTCCACCTGCGCACAGAAATAATGTCTTTATTTTAGCTCTATTTTCAATATGCATGTTTTTCAACTGGATTAAAAAAAACACACACACACACAAATCGTTTGTTATGAATTTGAACATGAAAGTCCCATAATTGTTAACAACTTTTGAATTTGGATATGTCGATGGCCGTGCTTAGTGCTTATGCATTGCCGGTTTGAATAATGAATCTTCTAAACCCTGAAAACGTGCTTCAGATACCTTGGGTGTATTCTAGCTACCAGTAGAAAGTTCTTTAGATTCTATTATATTTTCATCACGTGGACAGCGGTCCAACGTTTTCTTAAAATAAAATTTTAAGAATTTAAACACGCATCCTTGGCCTGCGTGAAACAAATAGGGAATCAATCACGAGTTTTTTACTTTTTTTCACGCGCCCGCTTTCATCACCAAGTGACCCACACCGCACCGTTGTAGATCGTATGGCTCGTTGACACTTTGCGCATGCGTAGCGTGCCAGCTGCGGAACAACAACACCAACAACAACAGCAACAACAGCTACGACGCGTAGACAGCAACCTGAGCTGTTAACGGCACTCGTTTTTTATTGGTCAATGTTTTTATTGTTGCGCTACGTCATTTGTTTCAATTGTTACAATCAAATTTTATTTTATTTTTACACACGAGTATACTACACACATGTGTGTGTAGAATTACTTTTTCTGCACAATGTATAGACCGTTGTCGACCCGACATTGCCGACGACAATTGACTTCAAATGCCTTGCATTTAACAAAGAGAAAAGTTTACTAGTGCTTTGAAAGTTTTGTCATTCCGTGTGTTTTTCGATAATACCCATTGCAAATTGAAACCAACATTCATGTACTCGCACTTGGGTATGCACATATATATACATATGTGTATGTCTGTATCAAGAGGAGTAACTTTCCCAAAATGAAAAGCGCATTTGCCACGAAAAAAACAGCAGAAATAATAGCTAAATATGAATGCGTGCATTTCGACAGAAAAGGCAGTTACATAATATTATTAAATGATATTCAATTAATTCGGCTTTTATTTATTATTGTTTTCGCGGTAGGGGGAGGTACATAATAGTGTCTTTCCCAAAAGTTAAGTCTGTTAATATTATTTTCGGCTTATCAGAACACCATCACAGGCATAGACGGCCTGTCTGGTAATTATGTACATTTTCATTATATACGAGTAAAATCGGAATTTCTAATAGTTGCTCAAAAAAATAGCAGGCAATGAACATCTGTATAGGTTTCATAATTCTTTTCAAGAATTACAACAAAGATATACGCAGAGTTCACTCAATAATTTATGCTGTGTATATGCAGCATACATACAAGTACACATGTCTGGAAAACAAAGCGGTAAAAACGATTATAAAATCCGTTCTCTAATTTATGTTTTCTTCTTTTCTTCAAACATAACTCGGAACATATAGCAATTGACAGAACCGTTCAGTAGGATCATATCCCGATAATTAGTGTTCTCATTATGCCATACACGTTCTTATCGTGGAGTTCGGCTTGACTGCTGACCTTGCCTACTTGGGTCGTCTGGTTCATAGTATTCATCTTCATTATTGCCGCAGCAAGCTGATACTAACAGACATGGACAGCACATTGCAAGAACAAGAACCAGACAGCAAAACAAACAAAAGGCAACGAAAACAATAATAACAATGGTGAGGACTTGAAATACACCCTTTTTCCCCTTTTCACTCATTTCTTTGCTTCAAATTTTGAATTTTGAATTCTGATTGGAAATTCATAGCGCACAAAAAAGTTTTGATGTACCATTTTTAAAACAGTATATGTACATACATATTTACAATATGTGGGTAATTGTGTCTTCATGAAAGCAACTTATTAATTAAAATGCATAATAATACATTATAACATTAGAAAACGAAACCAATTTTTCGAAGTGAGACCGCTGTTATAGATTTTCATCTACAATGTAAATAAGAACTAGAATTTATTTTATAGGCTTCGCTTTTAATGGATTAACCATTAAAAAACAGTTTACATAAATTGTAACATGTGTTTGCTGTATGAGAAAAGCTTTAAAACAAAATATGGCTGAAAGGATATAGTGGTCTTTGTTGCAGTGTCTCAATCAGTTTAAGGCTGGTCCCCTGCCAATTTTAAGTGACCAAGAATGGGGCGTTTTCAATAATTTTTAATAATACTTTACTAGGAAGCTTCGTCGCGCCCCAAGATTTTTTCGGTTCCTTCGTAGGACACTGCGTGAACTCAACTAATCCATATCTATGTATATTCTTCTGAACGCTGTTTACATAACAATATCTATTGTGATTCGACATCCCCACCTTCCACAATTTAAAATGTACTACATACCCGCACCAATATTTTTCAAGCCTTGGTTATGACAGGAACTTTGTCATTAGTAATATATTTTCTTTTTTTCTAGGATCTGTAATATTTTTTTATTGCAGTCTTCAGCTATGTTATTGTTAATAGATAACGCCTTCCAAATATAATATCAAATAAGCACTTCAAAGCAATCAGTGGGTTGGGGCATGGCTTTCCGGACTGGCTACAGAACATTCCCTTATCGGGTCAACTGAATAACTATTCTCCATTAAGCCATTTCCCCTATTTTATTAATTAATTATTATTTTTGCTTTTTAATTTATCCCTTATTCCAATTTCCTTTTGTTAACAGGTTTAATAAAGGCTATAACTGGCAGGTGAGGAATTAAAATTCTCCCAACCAATCGTATTCGTTATTAGATATTAATGTTATTTTATAGGTTTTTTCTTTTTGCTTTTACTTTTTTAGTTCTCTATTGTATTGTTTGTTGATGAATAAAATTAAATAAATAGCTTCGACGAAGACGTTTTCTTCGTTTTGTTTTTTATTAAATTTTGTTTGGTTAGTTGACAGCTGAAATAGCAAAGATAGCATGAAAATGCTGTCAAATTTAAAAGTGATTAGGTTCCTATAAAATGAGGTTTATAGACGACCTAGCCTGGCTTACACCCGGTGTCTACTTGGCGTTCTTTCTAGTGGGCTTCCTGCTGCTGATATTACTGCTGTGCTGCATAGGTTATTGTTGTTGTTTTCCCATAAAGGACCGCGAAGGCTATTGAGAGCTTGGCCAGAAAGGTAAAAAGAAACCATTTTGTCATAAAAGGATGTCAGATCGTTATGTTTTATAAGTAAAACATTCAACTCATATCTTCTCACAAGTACGAACATACTCTCCTGGATGATTTTGCTCATTGGCCCCATAATGCTCTCACCAATTGCGTTTTGCCTTGTGTGCGAGTCCGCGTCATTGCTGCTTAAGATGCTGCTTTCTACGTAGCTGAGCTCGCTTGCAATGGCCCAAGCCCCGCATATTGACAGTGGCCGAGAGCGTGGCGTCCCTGGCCGTTGTTGGTGGCTATGAGAAGCAACGATAACGGCTATGTCGTCGGCTGCAGCAGCAGCAGCAGCAGCAGTAAAAGCAGCAACCTCGCAGCAGAAGCAGCGCCAAGTGCTTAAGGAATGGTAAATGTTACCTGGCGTGTCAGTCTAAAGTGAGCGCTCGAGTTGGTCGGTTGTGCCGCGATTTTGCCGCTAAACAGAAATACAAGAAAGAAAAAATTGTTTTGTGCTTGTCCGTCTCGGCTCTCACACAAAGAGCGCCTTTCGACGCATTGATGTTGTGCCTTTTGTCGTTTGCTGTTGATTCCGTTAATGTTGTGTTTATTTTTCAATAAAGAGTGCTATTAAAATTTTTGCAGCAATTGAGCTTGTATTAGAGTATAACAAAATATATGTACATATATCCACTTAAGTCAAGTGCCAAGTAGAGTACAGCAAAGCAATAACCAATAAGCAATAACCAAACCAAATCAAGCCGAAGCGCACACTCACAGTTTCAAAATGGAATACCGGTGCTTAAGTAGAAGTTCTGTCAAAGTAAGTGGTGACCCCAATAAGCACAAAAAATACCTACATACGAGTACATACACGTACATACTTGTACATACATATGTACATGATTTCAAACAACAAGAGAGCGACTGACTGACTGGCTGGCCAATAAAGCGCCCACAAGGAACAGTTCGCTCTTCCAAAGCCGCTCTCCGATGCGCAGCTCGCTTGAACTTGGTATTGTTCCCGGCTAGCAATAGCCCCAGCTACAGTAGGCGCTCGTGTCGGTGTCAGTGTCAGTGTCGGTATCGGTGTCGTCGTCTGTTGTATGTGTCTGTATTCCTTCGGCTAAAACCAGTATAGCATAAAAATATATATTGGCATTGCCTCTCAACCAAGCTGCCCAGCCCACCAGCAGTTGCCGTGGTGGTCCATTGAAGATTAGCGTTTTCGTGCTGCTGCGCTTGCTGCTGCTGCTGCACTTTGTGGCTGGTGCTGAGTTGCTTCCTCTGGAATTTGTATTGCCAACGGCCTCAGAACCACCACAGACACTGATGCCAATGCCGACCCATTTTTGTTGTTAGCCACATGCCATTGCAAAAATTAGCACCTTTGGTGGGACTTTCTTCTTGCCATTTAACTTTGCTGGCCGAAACGAATTTTTAATGAGTTTTTGGCCAAATAACTTTTACTACTAGCTTGCTAGCTTTTTAGTCTCGTCACGTTTAAAAATTGCGCTTTCTTAATGAAATTCCAGAGTAGTCAACCGTTTGGCTTTCTGAGCTCTAAACGATAGATCATAGAACTCAAAGAGTGAATTTTAAGTAGAGTAAGAAGAGTATGGAAATTGTTGAAATTCAGAAAAGTCCTGCAATTGCAAAATTGGGCTCCAAAAATATTCCGCAGCTGTGAAAAAAAACCATTTCTATGCACCGTATGAAGTAGATTACATATATTTTTGAAAATATTGTTTTTTGTGCCAAGACCAACTCAATATATCCTTTATCTTACTAACCTGCACCGAATCAAACTTATTTTAACATTCCATCTTCCCGTAACATTGACGCATTTCCATGTAGAAGAAATGATTCACGGAACGAAAGCTTTTTCGATGTTGGTCAGGTCGCGAGCCATAATGCAAAGTATTTATAAAAAGTAGGCTAAACATATTCATACTTTGATTTTTATGGTGTCCCATGGTTGTTGGTTTTTGCTTTATGTTTATGTTTATTTTCGCTGTAGGTGCGTTTGGAGCCGGTCTTAAAATATACACAAGCACACACGCACAGCCACGCTCTTCCATCGATGCTATGGCAGTGTTTCCAGCTTAGTGCCCCCATGAAAATACATATATGATATTGTTGTTGTTGTTCAGCTGGATAGCTTCTCCGTCTGTGACGAGAACCCAACCTTAAAAGCAACAGTTTTTTAATTTTGCAAAAGCGGAATTAAATACTGTAAAACAAAAACTCTCAAGTCGATTCTAGGTCAAATGATTCGCGTCTTTTGAAGTCGTTCTGATTGGTGCGGACAGGGAAATAATGCGTAGGCATGAGAAAACTTTGCGATGGACTGCGAAGGGGAGGTCTCAAATATTTCCATAAACATATACGTACACACCACTACATGTTGTTTATTTAATGTAGCGTTAAAAAAAAAGACTAGCTGTATCTGAAGATAAAGGCGAGGTAGCCTCGACAGTGATTAACATTGATATTATCAAGTGAAACTTTGACCAAAATACTTCAGTTTTCTGTGATGGGCATGGAGTAAAAGTGTCAGACAAGCTGTAATTACATTGGTTCTACTTTTTGGCGGCGAAACTTTATTTGCTCTTAGCCTCGTTTCCACAACGTCTTGGCTGCCTTAATGCTGGACAACGACCGCGCGCGCTTGCGCGTAGCATACCAAGTGGCCGGTCCAAAAATGAAAGCGTTCTCGCGTCGCGTCGTCGCAACTTGTGGGAGGGAACTGCTGCCATTGTCGTCGCACTTGTCGCTGCGTCTCCGTCTCCGTCTCACGGTTTTATGGCATTACTTGGACCATTGTTGTTTGAGAAACGTGCTTTGCATATCGGTACGTTGTTGCTTCTTCTGCAAAGAAACCCATTGAGAGTTTGTCGCTTGTGGTTGTCACGCTTAATCGTGAAGCTCTGTCGTTTTACGGTCGCCATCTGCGGTCGGTAAATAGATGTCTGCAGAGTCCAACTTTGTAAGTACGAGTGCATGCGAGTTTATTAGCGCGAAGCAAAACACGGCTTCGACTCCAATGCTCGACAAGGAGTGTCAAGTTCTGGGCTTTGTGACAAATAAACGTGGGCGTGTAGTGCTGTGCAGCGTGAGAAAAACTCGGTTCTCAAAACAATAATGTCGTTTGCCAATACGTATGTATGTATGTATGTTCAGTTAAAGTAACGGTCAAACAGGCAAATATTTTTCAAACATTCTCATCCAGTTTTAGAAATACACATAATGCAAAAGAGTTTCATTTTTTTCGATTTTGTTTCGAAAAATTTTGTAAAAATTTGTTGTGCCACAAGAAAACACGGTGATTAATTAAAAGCAATAAAAATAAACAATTCGTATTATTTTTTACGTTTCTTTTTTATATACATATACATACATATGTATATACATATAAACATATGTACGAGTATGTTCATATTGGCTTTCTCGTCTCTATTAAGCCAATGTTTCTATATTTTTCACAAAGTCACTTAAGGCTTAAAAATGTCTCAGTATTGTATTTTAAACAAACAGGCAAACCGAACTCAATTCCCATTCAATCATTTCTATTGAAAATTTAGAATTTTGTGCCGCCAACTCAGCTGTGTAGGCAACGACTCTTATCAAAAAACCAGTTCTGCCGCTGCGGGGCTGTTGGCGTTGTCACCCGCCTTGCTTTTCATTCGTACTACCTCAGAAACGATTTTCACTCAATAAAACTGTATCAGCTGATGGCGCCCCATATTGTCATATTGTCGGGCAGTCCGAAGTCAAAAATAACGCATTATAATATTGCTTGAAGTTTTGTTTATTGAAATCCATTGCTAAGCCAAAGCTTGGAGCTTATGAGTTCTCAAATGCTGCAAGGTATGGTCATGGTGCAGAAGCACCACAGCCAGAAACAAAAACAACAACAGCGAACATGAGATGTGGGTCGTTAACCTCGTTATAACGGCACCTGATATATACACATATGTATGTACATACATACATATGTATGTATACATTCGTATGTATGCTCTTGACAATTTTTGCCGTTTCCATTGCCGTGCTCCATGTGCGTGTGTGTCTAGATTCGTTCTAAGTTTGTACATTGTCTTTTGTTTGTTGTTGTTGTTACAGCTAAGCCATCATCAACAACAAAAACAACAACACAAACAAAAACAACAACAAACGTTTAGTGCAAGCCATGTCGTAGACGCGGTTTATTTAATGCCTTGTGCGTTACTTGCCCAAGAAGTAGTTGTTGTTGGTGTTATGTTGTTGTTTTTGCGGTTATGTAAGAAGTGAATGACGCCGCCTAATGATCACGCATTAGTCAGTTCAAAAAGTTTATTGCCGTCTCTGATTCTGTCAGCATCATATTTAATGCCTTTTTGATTTATCGGCGATTTCCAACCCAATTATGATAATGTGGATTGTACATTCATAAATCCATAAATGTACATATGTACATATATGTATGTACATGATGTGGATTTATGAATGTACATATGTATGTACATACACTATACATATGTATATGTATGTTTGTAAATGTGATCATTTGCATCTTTAGCTGTCAACTCACTGGATGTTGCCAACATACATAAATGAATGAACTTTGCACGCATATGAAAATGCCTCATTAGGCCGTTGGATCCCGTTGTGACTGACAGACAGACAGACAATTGAAAAGGTGCTAGCACCATAGCCATTGCCAATCGGCAGGCAATTAAGCCACATGAAAAAAAGAAAAATTAAGAGACGGAGCGGGGAGGGAGTCATTATGCTTGTGACAGGTTCAAATGGCAATGACAATGTCTCTTTTTTATGTTTCGTTTTCGTTATTACATTAGCTTTAATGCCAAATTAGTGGGTAGTGGGCATTGTGTGTGTGTTTATTTTCAACATTTATAAATAAAATTGTAATTGTCGGAGCCATAAAAACCGAAAGTTGACGTTGAATAAAAAATGACAGAAAAAAGAAAAGCGCGTTTAATGAAGAAGCAGCAACAATGGATAATACGAATATCAACAAATACAAAACACACTCCCGGCTATTTGACAAATGTTTGGGCAGCACGGAGCGAAGGGCAAAGAAAGTAGACCCAACTGAGCCTTCGCGTGTGACTCTGGGAACACCAACGAATGCGGCCCTGGCACTGGCACTGACAGTCGCAGCTACAGCCGCCAGCGACTTCATTAATTTCATGTAATGAATGTGAAAAGAATTAAATAATAGAATTTCGCTTTCATTTTTTCCCATGAAACGAGGCACGCAACCCGCACAGCATCTCTGGCACTCAAACATTCCATCAAATGTGCAATTGAAAAGAAAGTGTGTTGCCTAAGTCTTTTGCCACTTCAAATGTGTGAACATTAAGATGTTGTGAATTGTAAAAGATATAAATAAAATACAAAACCCCATGGCATAGCGTAACAAACATGTCAATAAAACGGAAAATATTTTAACGAACTAAATTGTAACGCAATTGTTTATCCATTTATATTTGATACTCCATGTCTGCACCTTTGTTAGAATGCCCCATTTTATTCCGATATTAAAAGTAAATTTGTATACTTATGTACATATGTATGTATGTACCTTTGTTTATGGTTCTGTTATTCATAAAATATAAGCCCCTTATGGGGAAAATATTTATATTTGAGTTTCAAATCGAAACAAACAAACCTGGCCTGCATGCCAAGTTAGTTAATCATAGCTGTTATGGATCACAAGCCCTCATACAGACATGTCTATTTATATCGATTCTTCTCAACAGTAGACGCTTCTTTTGGCCCAAACCTTAGGTGTTTAGTTGTTAATACAGATACAGATTTCACATTTATACACCTAGACGCTACTGCTAAGCGAACCTACACCTCTTCCTCCTCTTCAACCATTTTTAACGGCACATTTTGAATATGAAATTGACTCTGCATTTTTGTTCAATCAAAACTGGTTTTCATTTCGGTTGCTAGTTTCTTGCCTTTTTTGGCCGGCACTTGTGTTGATCACAAAAATCCGCACAGAGAAAGTGAAAGAAAATACAAAAGTGAAATAAAACTAGCAAGAAGCATAAAAAGTTCAGACCATATTAGAAGTCAACTTTACATGTTGTTGGAAAAATGTATTAACTTTTTTGATCGTTGCCGTCGTCGTAATCGTCGTCCAATTTTGGCCGCGCCAATTTAAATTTTTTTGTGTTTTACTTTCACGTACCAACATGGTAGCGGGACCAGCGACGAGAGCATGTCTGCCCGGCGGTCGGGAACTAGTTGATGCTGTTTTTTGTAATCTGTAAGCTTAATTAATTCATCTACGTTCGCGTATGGATTGGCACTTAGGCGGGTCAAGTGCACTTTAATGGGAAAAAAGAAATGTGATGTTGTTCAGGAATGTTTTTAAACCTAAAACTGGTAATGGTTTTATGAATCTGCCTGCTAGCCGCCAAGTGTTTCCAAGAACTGACAAAGTGCGCCCTGAACCTCATGAAGTCAGAAGTAAGCCGCGGCCGCGGCCACGGTCAGGCCACAAGTTCAGTAAGAAAAAGAATTACAAAATAAAACAAAGTTGTGGAAGCTCGAATGAACATGAACGTCTATTTGTCTGTGTCTCTGATATGTAACTGTTCAAGTTACGCATTTCTACAAGTATATCTCCTTAAATCTTTGATATCAAGGCACTGGACAATGAAAAATAAACAAACAAACAATGAAAATGTGCCATAGGCTTGTAAAAAGTGAGCATTTCATTGATTTTAAGGCAGATTTGATCAAAATTGGTTTGATTAAATGAGTGGGGAACACATTTTGAGAATAAGATAGAAATCAGTAGGGGATCACCAATGAGGGAGAAATCAAGTATTCAGATATTTAATGAAAAATATTTGTATACGTATGCCCTAGCTTTTCAGCTATTTAGTCGGGTTTAAGTTATACCGTTACCTCGAAAGAATACTTACGAGTATAGAGAATATTTCGTTGTGCTATACTTTACTTAGGAAAGGCTTAGTTTTGATTTTATTCTTTACTGTTTATTGCAGCAGCTCACGGCGCTCTGCATCATCAGCCTTGCACTCACATGCGCCACAAATGCCGCGTTATGGCCAAGCTACAGGAGCGACGAGGCGTCCAGTAAATGTGCCGGTGGGTCTGGTCTAAAATATTTATCCGGCGACGCATTGACAGACTCACCGGACTGCTTGGGACCGAATAATGCCCCCTATCCCAGGTGAGGAGTTGATGGACGCGCAGCATTACCTTTATTTCCTAACACCTAACCCAATCATTTGCTTTAGTTCGGCCGTGGCGCGCACATTCTCGAATTGGAACGGAAACTCACGACGTGGACGTCAAAGCAAATTGCCCACCACGCTGGATCCCGCAATAACCACGAGTGCACTGCTCAGGGCCTACGACGAGGTGAACAACAATGAGGCTATCGGAAGCGATCGTTATGGTAAGTCGGTCAGCCGCAAACGGTGAATGCATTTCTAATAACAGACGTGGCGTGGCCGCAATTGAATGTGCCTTGCTTGAGTATTGACTGATTGATTAAATGATTGCTAATCGATTGCAGGTCGTTCGCTGAAGAATTCCTCTCCGGCACATCAGTGCAAGAGTGACACACCTGCCCGTCTCTGTAAGACGAGATACAATACAACGGCACCCATGTACGGCGTTAGCTTAACCTCTGGCCAGCCGGTGACCATAGTACAAAAGTTCCCCGATCTACTGCAACAAGTTGTCTTCGAAGTGTGCGAGTGAGTACTAGTATCATATATACATCTATAGTATTTATACATATGTAGGGGAAATAGGGCTTCAACTGATCTCCCAAGAATGACAATTTGTATGCCCTTCATTGAAGAGTGGTCCACTCTGCTTGATTGCAACCCATTTGAATTAAGTTCAAGTATTTTCATGGTAGTTTTTTAACCATAGCGTTTTCTTTTAAACAAAAATACATTATCCAGCATTAATCACTTTGTTTGTTTGGCAACATTAAGCACATTCCGAATTACCAATAATATACCTATCATCAATTATTTTACATCTTCCGTCATCAACAGATCTTCCGAATGCGACGTTGTTCGCGGCGAGTGCACGCAAACATATGTACCCTATCTCTTCCTCGTTATACCGCTGGGTCCAGTTACGCTAACTGGCCAGGACTATGTGCTCGTCGAGAGCGGATGCGTATGCAAGCCCAAGTACTCAACGGGCGCCACCCAGGAGCCCAACATGATACCGTAGGGTTAGTACTACAAGTAGATACGACAGCAACCAAAAGAACTGAGCGACTTGAGCTGAGGGAAAGCGGACAAAGTGGGTATGCCGGGCTGCTGCTGCATCTTGCTATTGCTACTACCGCAACATTTCCTTAAATATAGAATTATTTTTTGGAGCGAAATCAATTTTGCAATGTTATTAACTTTCTTTCGATTATCCCCAGCCCCCTCTTTCTCAATTACAATTATCGCTATTTAAAATTGGAATGCAAATTTGCTCGAAAAATAATGCTAAATTTAAGGCAAAAATATGAATTAAAGCAACTTCGTGCGCGGGCTCGTTTTGAATTGCATTGCATTTGAAATATGTAAGTAAAGTAAAGCAAGCAGCGCAAAATTTAAGTTAATATGCAATGAGTTCACTTGGCAGAACCAGCTTAGTTTATATGTATTTATATTAAATTAATTATAACAATCAGTTTATAGCGTTTTGTTGGCCGTGACAAAAACAGCATTATTTTATGTACTATGTATTTAAAAATAAATATTTTCAAAATGTAATGTATCTTTATTTTTTGAGGCATGCCTTCATAACAAAACAAAAAGCTCCATATAAAAATCCAACCAAATGCAAAGACAAGAGTTAAACTCTTGTTTAGCCTGCACCCGCACCTCTCTTTTACAGAATCCATCAGTCGATATAGACTTTGTTGCAATAGTCGTTCAGAGCTTAGATGCCCTCTGAAACCACACTGCTACTTACAAAATTTCGAAAATAAATTTTGCATCGAAAGAATAACATCTGGTTATTCCTATTACTTTGAATGTAGCAGACAAATGAGAACAATTATATCTTTTTGGACGTGACAAATTCTTTCGTAGAATAATCAAATTTCATTAAATAATTATCTTATAAATAAACGGACAAATTTCGCATCGAATCGATGACGAGAGTACGAAAAATTAGTATCTAATATAAACCAAGCTAATAATTAATTTAAAAAAACTCAACTTTTTTAAAATTCTGAAAATGAATTACAAAACAAAAAAAAAATAAATGTGTACCTACCTTTTATGGTGTAAATGTTCTCATATGGACGGAAAAAAAAGTGTAAGCTTTAGGTAAATTAGATAAGCAGAAATCTCCATGTTATACAAGTATACGTCATATCACTTTCTGCAAATTTAAAAACACACAGTGTGGCCAATGTTCTGTGACGGCTATGGGCTTTTAATCGAGTATTCGATTAATTGTATTGCAGCTACCACACGCAGTTGTGGTGTATCGTTGGTGGGTGCCAGCTCTAGCTACACGCATAAATTTTTTTGCGAAAAGAAATAGGATTTTCACAACTACAAACGTTTAAACGTTATAAAATCAACCAATTTGTGTTGTTGTTTGTAAACAAGAAAAGTTACTATTTACAGTGAGCGCTAAATTCGGATCTGTGCGTCACGATTACTTTTTGCAGGCGTACGCTATTGCCCCGGCCGTAACACACACACACAAACTCGCACTCATGCTCTCAGACACACACACGTATACATACATACGTGCATATGCCTGTGTGTAGACAATTTTGTTGCGTGGTGCCGGGTTACATATTTATTGAATTTTTGATTGCAAACGTGCGTGTATGCAGATTGTAGAGTGGTAAATAAACAAATGTGCATGAAATTGCTTCGCTGAAATTGGCGGCAGTTTCCTTCCCCACGATCTCCCAAAGAATACTGCACCCAGCTCGTGTCATCGTCAAAGCAGCACCAAAGCTGCACGGCTTTCAGCAAAATGATGTTCACGGTACGTTTCTTGTTGTTGTTATTGCGTATGTGTAGGGGGCGTGCATAGGTCGATGTTTGTGTTACAATCGATAAACGATGTTAAATCAGAATGTCTTGTTTTATGCCTTCCTTGCCTCAGCTTAATAAGATAAATTTAATTTTGATTCTAAACAGGGCACAAACCAGCAGCAGGACACGCGCTTCAGTGACAAAGAGAAAAAGCTGATGAAGCAAATGAAATTCGGCGATTGTCTGAACAGGCGCGTGGATATGTCCAAAGTGAAGTTGGATGTGCTACGGCCATGGATCAGTAAGAAAATAACGGACATTTTACACATCGAGGACGATGTGGTGGTGGAATTTGTGTATAATCAGCTGGAGGAAGAGAAGTATCCTTGTCCCAAGAAAATGCAAATAAACATGACAGGCTTTTTGAACGGTCGCAATGCGCGCCAATTTATGGGAGAGCTGTGGACGCTCCTGCTATCGGCGCAAGAGAGCGACAGCGGCATTCCAGCCGAGTTCATACAGCAAAAGAAAGACGAGATACTCAAGCGTGAGGAAGAGCAGCAGCAACGTCAGCGCGATCGTTCGCGCTCTCGTGACGAACATCGGCGAGAGCGTCGAGACCGCTCCAATGACAAGCGTCCGTCGCACGAGACCGCTGTCAAGTCGCGTTCTCGATCGCGTTCTGGCTCTAAAGCAAATAATGGCGCCGTCAGTGCCGCCATAAATAGCGCTGCTCGCGAGGCAGCCGCCAATGCAGCGGCGCGTATACGCAAGCGTCGATCACCCTCTGCATCCGCTCGACCTACTTCCAGGGAGCGTAGCATACAGCGGCCGGAGCAACGACGCAGTGACCGATCTACTCGACGTCGTTCCTCACGCTCGCGTTCCCGCTCGGTTAACAAGAGGGAAAAATCTACTTCCCCGGGCAAAGAGCGAAAGCGCTCCACATCTAAAGGTTCTGCAAATGCGGCAAGTGCCGTCAATGGCCGCCATTCGCTGGGTAAGTCGCCGGCTCAGTCAAAGGCAAAGTCGCGCTCGCGTTCACGCAGTCGTTCCGAACCGAAAAAACAGCATCGTGCATCCAACTCATCGCGCAGTCGCTCTAGGTAAGCTGGTTCATCCCCCTATATGGGCATAGCTTCTTATTTTATAAAATTTTAATTTTCCGTAGATCCACCAGTCGCAAAGGCTCACCAGTACGTTCCCGTTCCAAATCCTCATCGTCTGGTCACAATCGGAGACGTCGCTCCAGCAGTATATCGATCTCTCCGGAGCGTCGTCAGGACAACTTCGAGCTACGACGAAATAAAAATAGCGTGCAGAACAAGCGACAATATCGGAACAATCGCGGAGACTCAGCCAGCTCAATGGAGCGTGCTGGTGATGGCAGAGGTCGCCAGTTTGGCGGTGGAGGGGGAGGTCGACGTCCACCTCTTCATGGCAGACGCTTTTCACCGCGTGGACGCAGCCCAGGTGGTCGACAAGATAATGGCGGTCGCTTTCAGCGTTCTAATTCACGCCGTCGTTCGCGGTCCCGTATGTTATCGCGTTCGCCTATGCGGTACTCCCGCTCGCCCAGGCGGTAAGCTTAAAGAGAACCCATTATAAGTAGATATTGGAGAATTTGTATAATTCCTGTCAAGCATGTAGGCATTGAAAATCTAATGAATGTTGTTTTGCATTTCAATGAGTATACGTTTTCTTGATTTTCTGCTTGTCAAGTCCTTAACGAATCCTAATAAATGAAGTACTATCATGGATTTAATTACAGGTACAATCGACGTCGTTCGCCCATAGGTATGCACTTTAGAGGCGGTGGACGTGGAGGAGGTGGACGCGGCGGTGGCAATCGCAACATGTGGCGCGGAAACAGTCCAAATCAGCGTGGACGTATTCCCTGGCAATCGCGTCGTAGTCCCAGTGGAGGACGGGGCGGTGGCGGTCGGTTCGATCGTCGGCCCTCGCCCCAACAGCGTCGATTCTCACGAGATCGTCGCTCACCTGCGCCACAAGGTAGTGGCAACCAGTTCCGCAAATTCTCTCCGCCATCGGGTCAGGGACGTCGTTTCTCGCCTCCTCGCCGCTCACGTGAGAGACGTGTTAGCTCTCGTGAACGCCACGCTTCTTCGCCTATGCGCGACAATTTCAATCGCTGGGATACTCAACCTGAGCGAAACAACAGGAATCAGCGGCCAGTTGGACGTTCAAGCTCAGAAAGCTCGCAGGGTGTACATCGTCGCCGCAGCTCCTCCAGTCCGGCTGCAAGACGTGAGCGCAGTCGCAGCCGCTCGGAGCGCAACTTCAAGCGTGGTCCCCCGAGTCCGCGCCGTCATGGCAGCGTTCCTGGTAAGTTTGAAGCCTGATCCTCGCCATCTTATTCGTGCAAATGTGTAGTCTTATTCATTGCCACCATTCCATTACTTGTTCGTAAGCCACAAAATTTCAAAGCTCGTTATTTTGACAACAACCTTCCCAATATGCAGTATTTTACATTCAAAGATAGTTTTCAAGCTATGGATATATAATTTTCGTGAAACCTCTTAAAGATAGTTAGTTCGGTGTACTTTTCAAATCGAGATCCCGCAAGTTGATGGAAAAACATTTCTAATTTGTGTTCTTTTAGATATCGCTAAAGATATCGCTTTACTATATCTTATAACAGACGTCCGAGCGTCAGTACCGTTAAAAAAAATGTCCTTTTATTCCTAATCATTATATTTACGGTCACAGGAATTCACGGACTAATGGTTTTTGTTTAGGTTTTTGTACTCTGTACATGTACATATTAGGTTTGCGGGAGATGAAAAATGTAAGTCAGAAGGAGGCGTGACAGACCCCACAAAGTACTTGTATATATATTCTTGATCAGCATGACAAGACGAGTCGTTCTGTCTGTCTGTCCGTCCGTATGAACACCTGGATCTCAGAGACTATAAGAGCTAGAGACACCAAAGATGCTTTATGTGTGTACGCTATACGAGTTTTATTTTTTTGACTTTCCACACACTTCCCTCCTATGGGGGATTTCCGGAAATGCCGTTCGCATAATCACCTATATCTCGGAGGCTATATGACCTAGAAGCACCAAATTTTATTCCAAGATGCCTTTTGTGAATACGCAGAAAATGTGTATTTTCGAATTTCCCTCCCTCCCCCTCTCCACAGCAAATGTTCCAAGTACCCCCAGTTAGTGATTATGTGCCCGTATGCCAAGTTTCATTATGATATGACAGGAAGTTATAGCCATAAAAATACATCCTGCCGAATCGCTGTCCGCAGCTGTTGTTGTTGCTGCTGATTTGGTTGAACTTTGTGCTGCATATATGCTTACATAGACACGAATAGACACGCATAGACATGCATAGACATACATACATACACTCACATAGACGCAATTGCTATGTAAATGTGCAATTATACACCCTTTACCCGACTTTAGCTTCTCCTATGTCTATTTCAATCACTTCAGTTAGATATTTAATAATTTATTTCAGGCTGACAGCAAAAACAATATACAAACATATGTACATATAAGTTTAGTTATGGATACGCGGACTTTCTTTAAACCAGATTGTTCCGATGAAATGTTTTAAATTGTAACATAAGTGGTGTTTCTGCAACTTATTTAGATTTGAAATTCATTTTGGTTAGAAGATGTTCGCAGATGCTCTAAATATACCGCCTTGTCAAAATGCGGCCACATAATTTATATTCTTATTAGGATAATCGCTTTCTCTGCAACAAAATATTTGGTTGAATTACATTCTGCAAAATGTTCTGGAAAATATTTAATCATAAACTTGGGGGTTTGATTTCTTTTTATACCCTAATACTATACTAATTTTTATTGATCAGGATGACAAGACGAATCGATATAGCCATGTCCGTCTGTCCGTCCGTATGAACGCAAGGATCTCAGAACTTATACTTATAAGAGCTAGAACAACCAAACTTGGTATCCAGATTCTCCTAAGACCGAGAAAGTACGAGTTTGCGTTTTTTTTTCGATGCACCCCTCCACTCCCCCGCAATTCGTGTTTTTCCCATAACTTCCGTAATTTTCGTAATTTTGAAATAAATAAATTTTGGTAACTACATCCCGTTAGTGATTATGTGTCTGTATGTTAAGTTTCATCATGATTGGTCAATTCTGAAGAAAATTATAGTCATACATAAAATCGGTGCCCATGCTCTGTCCACAGCTCTGCCCGCAGCTGTTGTTGTTGCTGCTTTGATTCAACTTTGTGCTGCATACATAGACGCATATAAATACGCAGAGACACGATTCTGATGTAAATGTGTTCTATTGAAATTGTACATAATCATGAATTGAATATCTTATATTTAATTTAATTAATTAATTTAACTTAAATTTTAAATAATTGTTTTTTTTTTTTAAATTCCCTTTTTTGTGGAGAGTATAGGGTATTTTACTGTTGGTTGCTTGCTCGACTGTAGCGTTCTATCTTGTTCATTTCTCATCCTAGAATTTTGTTTGCCCTGAAGATTGTCTGTTAACCAAATCTGCCATTCCGTTTCCTTCCACTTTTGCTTGTTGTAATATGAGCAGATATTTTGGTTCCCACGAAATGTAACAGAGTTTTGTTTATATAATTTACTAACCCAATTGTCCAATCCAGAATGCCAACCTAAAATTATATCGTATTTCTTTGCAGAGCGCTCATCCGTAGAGTTTAGCGGCCCCTCTGTAAACACCATCGATCTCTGCCGCGAGGAAACTGTAGTATTGCAACTACCCAAGTCCCAGTCCCAAGCAGTTATTATAGAGTCGTCGAAGCAGACGCGCAATAGTGTTTCCAGCCTATCCCGCACACCTTCTCCGTTCCTTAAGTCGCACGAGCGTGTCGCAGCGGCGGAAGCTGCGGCACAAAAGAAGTCACGTGCGCAGAGCCACGACAGTCAGAGCAGCAGTTCTGAAAGCTCAGCGGACAGCGACGATAGCGATGATGAGGAGCAGCAGCGACAACGCCGATTAAAACTGGCCTTGCAATCTGCCAAAAACGCGGGCAAGAAGAATGCGTCGGCTCCAGAGCCCAAGGCCAAGAACAGACGCACTTCTGACAGTTCATCGAGTAGCGAGGATAGCGAGGACGACGATGATGAGGATGATGAAAGCAGCGATGAGAGACACAAGAAGAAGAAGCAGGCTGCAGCCCGCCAGGTAACAGAAAAAAGACGTGCACCGTCGCCCAAAGAGCAGGCTGTAGCCAAAGGGGCGGATAAAGAGAAACGTCGGCAGGATAAAAAGGTGAAGCGTGTCACTTCAAGTGCGGAGGATGCTTCTCCAGTGACCGATAAGCGTGTGGAGAGCCGAAAGCGTAGCCACAAAAAGTCGAGGCGTGAAGTAGCCAACGAGTCCGATTCCGATGACGGTCGTGTGCCGAAGAAGAAACGTAAGAAATCCAAGAAGGCTGTGTCAGGCAGTTCGGAAAGTGATTCGGCATCGGATGCGGAAGAGTCCGCCAAGAAGAAGCGACACAAGAAACACAAAAAGCATAGCAAGAAAAGCAAAAAGCACAAGAAACACAAGCGAAAGAGTGGAAGCAAGCGGGTGGCGGTCGAAACCAGCTCCAGCAGTGATGAGGAAGAAACCGCAGTGGTACCCAAACGCAATGGCAAGGTCTCTGCTCTGTTGCTCGCCGGCGGCGCAGTCATCAATGAGGATCTGGAGAAACAGCTACGTGAACGTGCACTCAAATCAATGAAGAAGGTGGATTAGAAGAACTGACTTACGGACTCCAATGGAAGGAATTTTCACAACATACAGACACTCATACACTCCTACACATACAACATGCACACGCGACTATATACATAGCTAAAATAGCAAGATCAACAGCAACAACAACAATAATAATAATACAGACAGACGTACGTAGCCATTTATCTATCATTCATAACATACATTTATGCATACATGTATTTCTAAACATAATTTTATACGATTTAAGTGTAATTGCGCGTGAAAACTATTATAGAATGAAAAATAATAACTAGCAACTTTTCTTGCATACAGTTGTGCGTGCATAATTTAATGTAATTTGTATTATGTACAAAATCATGAACCCAACCCAAAAAGAAAACACGATATGCCCGAAATTATTATATTCAAAACAAACAAAAAACACGTCGCATATTCGCAGTTTTCGACATGTTTATTTAGAATACCACGTATATTATATAAGTAGGTTTTACAACACATAATTAATAATATCAAAGAAAAATAAAATTGTGTTTGAGGGCATTCATTTAAAATAAACACAAGAACAAGAAATTTCAATTTAAACGATACGCGCGCCCTACTTAGATCATGCTAGATGGCGCTATTGTGTCAGAGCTGCCACTCTGCCCACACGCTAGAGATATGTCAGCTCGCGGATATGTCAAGTGGCAGCACTGTATGGCTGTCAAATGCAGTGACACACGGCTAACTTCCTTTCCTTTTTTACGTATCGTACAAGATGGTAAGAATGTGGTTATGTGGTCCGAAAAGTAGATAATAAATATTTATTACAATAATATTAATTATGTGGGAAATTCTATGAAGTGTTACAATACAAAGGTGCGCGTCTAATATTGTTGTGGTACATTATGTGGAAAAGGTGTACAGTTTTGTAGCATGCCACAAGAGAATGTGTATTCGTGTGAGCAGTTTAGTGCGGTCCGCGTGTGGTTAGTGCTCGGCAAATTGTCAAACAGTGTGTGACGATGGTTTCAAAACTACAAAATTTGTGTTTATTTGTCATCTGACGATGGCTATTAGCCGTTTTGAGACAATTCATGTAGCTTTTTCATTAAATTTAACAGGCGCGTGGACCCAAGAAGCACTTGAAACGTTTAGCCGCACCGAAGGCATGGATGTTGGACAAATTGGGTGGTGTTTTCGCCCCACGTCCCTCAACCGGTCCACATAAGTTGCGTGAGTCGCTACCGTTGTTGATCTTCTTGAGAAATCGTCTAAAGTACGCCCTAAATGGCGCCGAGGTGACCAAAATTGTCATGCAGCGCCTGATCAAGGTTGACGGCAAGGTGCGCACCGACCCAACCTACCCAGCTGGTTATATGGGTAAGTATATTGCAATGGGTATATATGAACCCTTTTGAATGCGTAATTTAATGTCCACAGATGTCATCACCATTGAAAAGACCGGTGAATTCTTCCGCTTGGTCTACGACGTCAAGGGTCGTTTCACCATTCATCGTATTTCCGCCGAGGAGGCCAAGGTAAATGTTCTTTGAATTCTGATATTTAGGGCTTTATCGAAGACCTTTTTGTGCTCTCCAATGTATGAATAGGTTCAAAATGAAGCCCAAAGCAATTTTTGTTACGACGGTCACTGATTTTGTTGGATACCACGCAATTTCAGTAACTTTTCGTGCAATAACATTGATCCTACTGTAAATGCATTTTGTTGTGAACACAATATGCCGGTTCTGTTCACATATTGAGAAACTTATTTCAAAAATAACAAAATTGAACTTTTTTACTTTCAAAGTTGATTGGATCAAATGAATCGATAAAAACTTCATAAGCATTAAAACTAAAAATACTTAAAGTTAAATAATTACTATATGAATAAAGAATTTCAATTTTAGCCGAATGAATCAAAAAATAGTGACAACAAATTTAAGCACTTTTGTATAGTTCATTTTTTGGCACCTACGATAGTTTTCCATACTAAACTCTATGTGTATTAAATCTTATTCGTTTATATTTCGTTGAAACTAATTGCGAACAATGTCTATTGCAGTACAAGTTGTGCAAGGTGCGCAAGACACAGTTGGGCCCTAAGGGCGTGCCCTTCCTTGTCACACATGACGGTCGCACCATACGTTACCCCGATCCCTTGGTCAAGGCCAACGATACCGTGCAGGTGGACATAGCCAGCGGCAAGATCACCGACTACATCAAATTCGACTCAGGTGAGTTTTCGATACAGAGATGTGATTGGTAAACAATTGGCTTGTTCGAAGACTACAAAGCGATAATACATATATATATAGTGGCGTGGTTCAAATATAAGCCAATAGCAATTTTTGTTACGACGGTCACTGATCTGCGTAGCTCTCTAGCGATTTCAGTAACTTTTCGTGCAATCACAACTTTAAAAATGATTTAAAATATAGTTTGAAATTTGTAACTAATGATGCTTTCATTCTGAAACCACAGGCAACCTTTGCATGATTACTGGAGGAAGAAATTTGGGACGTGTCGGCACTGTCGTCAACCGGGAGCGTCACCCCGGTTCTTTCGACATTGTCCACATAAAAGACTCGCAGGGTCATGTGTTTGCCACCCGTTTGACCAATGTCTTCATCATCGGCAAGGGCAACAAGCCCTACATTTCATTGCCAAAGGGCAAGGGTGTTAAGCTCAGCATTTCCGAGGAGCGTGACAAGCGATTGGCCGCCAAGACCCACTAATGGACGTTTGTATGGACAAACGATTAAAGAGGATGATGTTTTCTTTTTAGTATAACTGTACGGCAAACTACAGAATAAAATTAAAAACCAACAACGTGAAAGTTTGAGTATAATATTTTCTGTTTCGTGCCCTCGAACAAAGAAAAAGTATACATGTGTTAGTGTGCTCTTCACTAAGCGAAATGTGTGTATGGTTCCCAACAAAGTATTTTGTAATAATCTCTAGATGTAATTTGTTCAAAAATGTTCAGTTTTGCCTTTGTAAAACGGTCTTTTTTTTCGCTTAGATCACTTATGAGTACATTTTAACTGATATAGAAGGCATATCAGAACACATGTTGGGGTTTAAAATGGGCTGAATAACGAGTTAGTTTACGAAAGTTAAAGTCGTATCGACATCAAATAGCTGTTATTGAAAAGCTGTGGTTAAACATTATGGAAATCTCTCGCTAACGAATGTCCTTTTTTATTTTATTAGGTTGAACTGCTGTTAGTGGGGCATACATGCGTTTATAGGATGCTTTTCCTAAACTTTGAAAGCTTATATTTTTGGCGCTATCGGTTCAAAAGTGTGACCAAAGTAAATAATGCCACAGAAATGCATTGTATCCATTCCACCTCTGATTGGTGCCGATATATCCACAATATCGATATACGTACATGAAACTTAGTATCAAGAAATCGGGACAGACAGAGCAGCTGTAATTTTACAAAGAATGTAAATTAACTATATCAATATTAATTTATTGTCATTATATGCTTGCAGTTGGGTAATTAAATACGCATGTGAAAATTATATGTGTGATTTGAGGTGATCTGTTTGCTGGCCATTAATGCACGTATTAAATGCTTGTAATATTGTGTTGAGCTTTCGTGTTCTGTCCTCGAACATACGTTACGCCTTCTTTCCCTGCAACTCCAAATAGATTTTACATAGAAACCATACAAAAGCGGCTACACTGTGGTCACGAAATGCGTTTTATGTGCATGTAGGGAAGCATCGTTATAAACATACATACATGCATACATATAAGTATGTATGTACGTGTGAGTGTGTGTGTTTGCATATCAAAGTTTCTGGTGATAACTCCAGTGTCGCTTAGCAATTAAAAGGCGGACACATATTCGAATTGCCGTCGTATTACAAATAAATGAATCACATTTTGTTGTTTGGGTTCAACGATTTGTTTGTGTAATATGATCTCGGCTTTTGCCGTTGTGTGCTGCTGTTTCATAGCTAAACAATGTATAAGCATACATACATTTTTATTTTATTGCAGACAGCAGTAGCATTGAAGTCAACAATCGAGCACCATGTCGCATGCATTAAATAATTCTGCAGGTACCTCTCATCGCGACTATGGATCTATTACTACTTCGACCACCGTCACTCCAGAGGTTAGCTTTGTTGGCGGCTTCAGCCCCACAGAGTTTATGTCGCTGAGTGAGGACATTGCCCATAACATCAATGCAATCAACTCGAGCACCAAGCAACTCGAAAAAGCTTTGAAGAATATGGACAGCTCGTCGGTACGCGATAAGGTGCACAAGATTAACAGTAAGACAAAGGAGCATGTTGAAACAACAACTTCGTATCTGCAACGCTTAGCGACAGTGGTACCGCGCGGCGATCAGCAGCAAAAGCTTCAGCTTGACAAATTAAAGGGTGATTTTGAAAGTGTAGTGAAGAAATACTCGGCTTTGCAAAGGAACATTTCAACCTCATTGAGACGCAGCTACCTCCTGCAGGAGGAGATTGCACGGGGAGAAGCAGAAGAGTCTGCTCAGGGAAACTCACTAAAGAAGCATGTGGAACAGGAGGAAATGGCCCGCCAGTTGGTGATGATGAAGGAGCGTGAAAAGCAACTGATTCTATTGGAAGAAGATGTACTTGATGTCCAACAAATCATGGCCAAACTTAGTATGATGGTGCACCAGCAGGGCGAGAGCGTAGGTAAGGCTGTGGAATGTTGTTGATTCGAATGCGAATAGTCTATATAACATCTATGTTTTGGAAATCACAGGTGTTGTGGAAACCGTTATAGGACAAACAGCTGCAAATGTGGAGGAGGGTCGGCTAGAGTTGGCTAAAGCGGAAAGAAGTCACCGGAGCCAGCGGCGCAAGATTTTGATTCTGTTAGCGATTGCTGTGATAATAGGATTAATTGTAACTATTATTATTGTCAGCAAATTAAGTTAATTTGTTAATAATACATACTTATATAATAATTATGTAATATACATATGTAATAATTTTAAGACCTTTTTTTGCATTTCATATGCAATCGACTAACTATGATTCATCACAAAGTGAGAGAGCGCGCGCAAAGCGGTCGGACAAGTTGGAATGCGTAATAGTTTTTAGCTGTGTACTTGTATTTATAAACGACAAACCCAAAAATTGCATAAAATACACATTGATGTTTTATAATGTTATCAACTAATTCTTGTTGAGACTAAATCAAGGAGGCATCACTGGAGGTAGTAAATTTAGTTTTCACTTCAACAAAAACTATGTTAATAAACGTTCATGTATGTATTTGTTAAAATAAAGTATCATCAATTATGCACTGCAATAACATAAAATAAATAATTTATATTTGCGATTAAGAATCTCTTATATACAATAATCTCTCTTATACATATGAATAGATCTGTAACACGAGACCCATATTTGTAGTAGTGTAGATTCCATGCTGTAAATAGCCTCCAGGTTGTGTTGCATTACGCCAATACGTTACTATGATTTTTTGGAAAACAATGCATCGATATTTATCGGTTTTTTTATACTCACGATATATCGTCAATAAGTTTGTTTGGTTGTGCTTGCGCCAGTGCGATTAAAAGATTACTCAAATTGGACTACTTTATCCTCGGATCGATTAGGTTTTAAACGTTTTGGTATAAACGAATTTTTTAAAAACGTTCTGGAAAATTGATATACTTCAAAATATTGAAAAGTATGTGCTAAATCGATGGGTCGATGTTTTTCATCAATTTGACACTGTATAAATATTTATTTTTTCGATGCATCGATGTATGAACATTACATTTTAAGTTACATCCCTATTTGGGCGACGAATGTGTTTTTAAATTGGCGCCGGCAGCCACAGCTGCTCTAAACAACATATACAGATGCTTCCGTAATGTGTGAATGGCAAACAGCTGATGTGAATGGCAATGAATCGCTGTGAGTCCAACAAAACGAAAAACGTGCACGGTGCTAATAATTAGGCCTACTTCAACAAGTTAAATATATGCAAAATGCCTCAGGGTAAATTTAAAAAGGCAAAGCTGCCTGCTGCTATACAGAAAAAGCAAAAGCAGCAAAAACAAGCCGCATTCACGCGACGTTCAAGTAAGTACAGTTTATAACAACAGCTGCAACAGAATATTTATACAATGTTTTCAAAACATTACAGATGCGCCCATACAGGCAAGGAAGTCAAAGTTTAACGAGACGCAGAAAATAAAGTCAGTTATTTCGAAATCAGTCAACAAGAGTGTGGAGAATGAACTGCGTTCCCGTGCTCACGAGGGCTACATACAGCTTAGCAAGGCGCAGGAGGCGGTGGCCAAGCATCACTCTTCTGTTGCGGCTGCTGCAGCAGCAGCTAGCACCAGTACAACGAGCAAGGTGGAGTAAAGGAATAATCCAACGTGTTGTCTGATGAAATGTGTATATCTATATGCGGGTGGATAAATGACTATTCTAGTACTTCTCATGTCAATTGGACTTCGTGAAACTTCATTGCCTAGATTTGAGATTCAATTAACAAGCGAATCAAAGATTTGTATTAAACTGTAAAGGAATGTGTACCTCACGCACGAAAAATACGTATAATATAAGCACACAGCTATGTACATATGCAAAATAAATAATTTACAATTTCACATTTGGTGAGGCTCCGATTCTGTAGATTATCTATGCGAAGATTTAGACACACTGGCAAACCATCACTCTTGTCTTGTGTCTTATGCTTGTACGACAGAATTTTAAGTGTTAAATTTAACATTTCAAAAATTTGCAGCCCTTTATTGTCTCCATTAAGGACCTAGCCTTTTCAACTGAAACAGGAATGGAATGCTAGAGTCTGTCGGCCCAACTCCCAAACGTCAGTCCACAAGCAATATAACACTTCCATAAACAAGTACAACTTTTTTGTATCATTATAGACGCACGATTATACTTGACTTACAAGTAGTAATTGGCAACTTTGAACAAAAATTCGAAGATTTACGGGAGTTATGGAAAATCACTCTTTGCGTGAAAGTGCAGAGTGCATCATGAAAATAAATCAGAAAATGGCATTTTTTTGGGCTTGACAAAAGCCAGATACCAAGTTTCGTTATTCCAGCTCTTATAATTTATTTGATCCTTTGTATAGATGGACATGGACCAATTAATGTTAGTATTACGTATATAAGTAAGTTTATATGTCCATAATATGTATTATAAACGTGTACATATGTAAAAATATGCCTGTGTCCCTTATTTGTACTTATTAATGGACAAATTTTACCCGCATATAGTATTGCCTCACTTTTCAAATGAAATGCTGTTTTACTCGTTTTCCTCATCGCTATAAGTTTTTTAAATTAGAAAAATAGTTTGCCAACGACGTAGCATTTTAAGCTGTCATTTATTGGCCATTTGATTCGAGTAGAAAAGTTTTTTCTGCGTATTGTAGAGTGGAAAACGAGAAAAGCTGCTAAAATTCTACTATTTGTTGTCACAACGTATTCGTCTGCTATGCAAATTTGTTGTATTTGATGCGCTTTTAATTAGTTAGGATGGTAAATCGGCTGACAATCACTTGTTTTTCTTGCCCATGATTATTCGCGTTGCTCTATGATTGCTATGTGTGAGGCTTTTGAGCGACTCGCTGCACATCACGCATAAACTATCAACGGGGATCAATCGCATGCAAATGAGTTGCCACCAGTATTCATTTTGGCGATTTGCACCCTTTACGTTTTTAGTTTTGTGCAAAAATTGAAATGTCCTTTGAATATTCAGCAGAATGCAAATTCCATGCACTCAGCCTGCAATTATACGCCACTCGCCACTCCCAAGCCCCTTTTCATATGCGTTTGTTTTTTGTTGGATGCTTGACTCGACTTGTTTTGGCAGGTGCTCCCAGCACTGATAACAGTTCCGCTATATACCCACCATTCACCCCAAGCACTTTTGCATTTTTCCGAATTTTTAGCTTTTAACGCAAAAATCTCGAAAATTGCATCAACACGTTTTTAAATGGACTTGTCGAGGTCACACATCACATCATACCCATAAATTTTAAACATTTGAGTGGCAGATGCTTTTTTTTATATTCTGTACCCAACTAATAAAAGGATACATACATATGTACATACATATGTACTAGTTTAGTGCGTATGTATTTAACATACGGAAGGAGGCGTGGCAGTGCGTTACAGCGTTGTTGCCATAACTGCGTTAATGTTTACCAGGAGAACACTTTAATGGCTAAAATATTGCCGTAGCATACCGTAGCTTATTCCAGAAACAAAGATGAACAAAAAAGTAACATCCTGTACCACAAAAATGCGTTATATGCGTGTTTATAAGAGCTAATAGTAGAAGAAGAAGATGCGAGTGAAAATTGTTTGGCTATTAAGCTTTATCAGGATCATGATTTAAACTTTGCTCAACATTTGAAATCGTCCACATTTAGTAAAGGGCATTTTTCCTTTAAAGAGTAAAAAACCAAATAGATAATTAAAGAGATAAGTGGTGATTAGGTACCGTTAGATCAACTGTAGTTATTATGAGACTCGAAAAATCCCTTCAATTTCTATTCGTTGTTAATTAGTTGTCAACAGCTGCATTTATATACTTTTGTTATCCTGTAATCATTGAAATTTCTTTGCAAATTGTCATTTATCTATAGCATAGCTACAATTTGCGTTTGAATGAATCAAGTTCAAATTTGATGGCCAAAAAATAAATTGTCCACATTGCTGTTGGCGACTGTCAGTGGCTATATTTGATGTCCTGTTAGAATTTGTTTTGTTTTTTCTTTACGGTTATACCAAATGGCCTGTTTAGAAATAAATTTGCAGGTCACTTTATTGACAGCTTATAGAAAACAAAGCATCGTACCCGCTTAGACCTGCGAAAATGAATCATTAATTACCATTTGGAAGGTTTATCGCAAAGGAGACATTTTCGAAAAAGCTAAAAACCTCGAACAACAATTCAAGCAATAATAAAAAGTTATAAAAATGACGACTTGATTAAAGATAAATTTGGAAAAGGTGCGAAAGTAAAACTGTCTTCCACAACCAAACGTTGGATTTTATGGAAAATTAAAAAGAAACTCCAAACAACCGCCGTGGAAATCGCAAAAAAACTTGGTTTAGATTTCAGTGTTTATGTTAAAGGACAAACTATAAGAAATTTCTTACATACTTAGATAACATTTTCGCGAATGTCACGTAAGAAAACGTACATCAGCGAGAAAAACAAACTTATCCGTCTGATTTTCTTCCAAAAGTACAGGATCGCAAAAGTATAAGGATCTTTTAACTATCTACTATTTGCTCCTAAAAATATAACGCAAAATAGCTTCTCGTTGCATGTGGACGATTTAAAATGTTGAACTCCATATAATTTAAATTTGCAAAGTTTAGTTTATGAACCTTTGAAGTTGTGGACTGAATTGATGAAAGGGGAAAAAATTAACCAGGGACTAGGAGAGTCTACTATACATACACGTATAGATGCATGTACTTAGCATATACAGCTTTCGTAATACAGGCGCTTATCCAGATGGTCGGACATGTCTAGATCGATTTGTTTCTTCAGGCTGATTTACAACATACACATGTATGTATTTTTCTGTCCGTACATCCTTTGCACAAACCTAATATACCCAAAGGGTATAGAGTATAAAAAGATTTTCAATCGGTAGGTGTACAATTTGCTTCTGAGCCACTGCGGTCGGCTGGTCGCTTGTTCCGCCCGGCCAGCCGGACAGTTTCTCATTGTGCAGAATGTAAATTTGTCGAAATGCATGCAAAGAGAAACACTTGAGCGACAAACGGTTCGCTTCTGCTGGCGGCCACCTGCGACATTTTTTGCATACAATAGCACGGCTTTTTGCGCTTCCCTGGCCAGTGTGTACATGTGTATATGTGTCTCTGGAATTTGATTTATGAATGTACAACAAAACAAGAACAGTGGCAGCCGCTCCTGTGCTCTCTTCGATCAGTGCATTTTAGAGTTTAATTCCAGCCTCTGCCCCGACTTAAGGAATATTTAAATGCAGCGAGTACAAGGCCTGGCATTGTCACAAAATTTCGATATTTTACGCGGCTCCGACAGCAACCCAACTGTGTCTACTTCTTTAATATAATTATAAGCTGCGCTCGGCTCATCAACATGCCAGCGTACAGGTGCAATTGCACAGCTCCACAGTCTTCTTCTGCTGGTTCCACATTATCATTATCTGCGCTTTGTGCGGCGCATTCGCACTGCCGCCTATTGATTCCTCGGCCACCTCAATTCATTTGCAAAGCGTATCCAAAAATGTTGATGGGATTATTATATGTTGTACGTATGTATGTATGTATGTATGTATGTATGTATAGGTTGCTCACGAATTTGAGGGTGCGACTCAGTCGCCGGCTGCAGGTTGAATTTCAACGCATCGCTTTCCTGTTTCTATCTGTATTATTGTTTCTTGTATACGCTGATGATGGCTTTTTGGTTTCGAACCATTAATTTATGTATTAAAATTTAGGAATTCGGGTGGACAGGTAAATTTCGTGTATTTCGGGATTATGGGGTCATTATCCAGCAGAGTGTATATTTTTCATACATATTCTGGTTTTATGCCTACAATAAAAACACAACAAAATATTTATAATATAATGGATTTTTAACAACGACAAAACCGTTAAAAGTTTTCAAAGGATATATGCATGTGCTTCTATGGGTTGGTTGAGGTAGTTTAGGAACTTAAGCAACTGACTAACATATAAAACAATAAATTATAAAATGAAAACTCAGGACACTTCTTTAGCACTCGTTTGTACCCATTCATATTTAGTTTCATGAGTTTTTATTTTAAAGCTTTATATTAAAGCACGAATTAATTAAAATTCCCTGAGTCGCTAAACTGGGTATCAAGACTTGTCTTATCCAACTTTTGTACTCCCCATATATTGCTGTATTTATTTTTATTATTTTATGCAGACGCTATAGATAATACATAAATATAGTTAGTCTAGTTCAGAAAAGTTTTTACTTCAATGTATTTTATCACAAAACGTTACTACATTTCACTATAAATCAGTTTCCCAAGTAAATACATATATGTATATGTATATTATGTGCCTAAAATGGCTTATATACTAATACCAAGCACACAAATCAAATGGCGCTCTGCCTGGTTTTTTTTTTTTTTTGAAACAAAACCGAAAAGGCGATGGACATAATAACGCTTCAATAGCAAATACTTTCCAATAAAAGTTCAAAATGACGCCGACACAGGGCACGCAGAAAACAATTGCAGGACACAAAAGAACCAAAATTACAGCACACGTTGAGTGGTAGCGTCTGATTACAGGAGTACGAGTATTTCGCCTGAATGGTTCCGCCCTCAGCAGTTGGCAGGTCATTGCATTTGTCATGGCCCTGGGTCTTGACCAAAAGCATTTTGCAACAATGCCTGCTGGAGTCACTCGACCACCTTTAGACTGGATAATTGCACCAAAAACGTTGTTTAATTTTTCTTTAACGAAACTCAAATGCCTTTTGTCTGAAGTCTACTATAGATTAAGGCTGCTAACAGAGACTTATGTATGTGTGTGTGTGTTTGAATATGTGAAGAGTTTCACCTGCCTAAGATCAGTAGAGGTGTGTGGTTAT